GATCGTTTTTGCCAAGCTCGCAGTGCTTGGCACTTACACTGGACTTTGAGAACGTTGCTGATTTGCTAAGCGCGCACCACCACGCCACAGAACAAGGTCACAGCCAGAGATGAAAGAAAGTGAAATAATAGCGCTCCAGTGCGTGAGCGCTGAAAGTCTGAACCTTTGAAGGTGCTGCTGTTCGGGTTCTCGTCGTCGTTGATCTGCTTCAAGTTTATTAACAGCTTTAAACAGGGCTGGTATGGTTTGGCGTTTAAAATTCGTTAAACTTCTAGAACACATTTTTCCTATCAAATACCGATCTTTTCCTGTGTCGTCGCTGCGGCCACACCACCAGGAGGCACGTCGGCCGTCGTCGGTGGTACCAACAAATTCGGTTGTTCTCGGTCTTGTGAACTACCAACTGCCGCTGCCGCCACACTTGTTTCGCTTTCCCCGTTCGTGAACAATTCCGGTACTATGTTCTGTTGCAAGTTCAACGTGCTCGTGCTCTGCTCGTGATTATTCCATGGGACTGGTCCGCTTTGGTGCGCAGGAGTCACAGCCGCTGCATATCAAGAAGAAAAATCCCCCCTCCCCATACCAAAACGAAAATCTGTGATGCAGATTTGTGGTCATAAATCAGCTTTCTCGTGCTAGAAGGACAGAGAGAGATGCGGAGCGTAATGCTGGCTTGCATGGGAAAGCCTTGCGCCTTCAGCAGGACAGAAAACCAGTGAAAGTGGATAGCAGCATGACAAATTGCCTGCAAACGAGGCCGCAGCTGCCTCTCGTGGCCTTTTAGCACTGCAAGGCGATTTTTGCACTCAAATACAGCATCACAAATTTCGTTTTCGATATGGGGAGGGGGGATTTTTCCTTTTGATACTGCAACGGAATCAGCTGCTCGTCGTGCTGCATCGGCCGGCGCAGACGTAGCTGTCATCGCCGCCGGGACGAGACTTGTTTCAGCCAGCTGGCCTTGACCAGATGCGGGGGGTCGGCTGCTGGACGAACTAGAACTGGAGCTGGTCGTGGGGGCTTCCGGCTGTTTATGCTCGGTGAAATTATTATGACCACCTGCAATGTCAATTTGTTATGCAGGTATATATGCCTATTTGCCATGACAAATTCCATTTCGTGCCGTCTCAAGACGATCGTCTGCGACGAGTGCATGACAAATTGCCATCTCTCGTCGAGCTGGTACATTTATTTCCACCTGATACGACCGTCTCAGCGTACTTTGCCCTGCTTGTAGTCCCAGCGTGTCGACAGTTGCGGCATTACCGCCCGAGTGCGGCGCAGTTGTCGTCGCAACATCATTGGGAACGTCGGTCCTCGCCACCCGCAGCTGCCGCTCGTCCTCCTTTTGTTTCTTCTCAAAGCACACCATAGCCGCTATGGCGTTCTCAAATGTTGCATTCTCAACAGTTACATGATTTGCCATGCAAAACGAGCATCAACGTCCACATGGTGAAGCTACTGCGCATGACAAATTTTGGAAGGGCTAAACAGGATGAGAGCCTGTGCCGAATTTGTAATGCAAGAGTTGCAAGATCCGGCCTTTCTCTGTTGCCATTCTTGCATCGCAAATTCATGTAAGAACAGTTGAGAACGTAACAATTGAGAATCCCATAGCCGCCTGCACGCAGAGCGCGTTCAGCTTCTTTTTCGCCAGCTTTTCGGAGTACTTCTCGGCGAGCCGGTCGAAAAGGTGCTGCACATCCGGCGCGCGGATGTTGTTCAACATTTTCTCCTCTGGTAGACTTAAACTTAGGGCGTTTCAATCGTATCTTCCGATTTTTGTTCGCTTCTCCTCTTTTCTATGCTACACAAATTGAACAAAGATTGCTGCCTTGTTGGCCGAGGGGTTTGTGTGATCAGAAGCCTCTGACACAAGCCTAGGTTGAAAGTAAAATGGTATTGGGAAATAAGGGTAGACCTTGCTACTCGGGAAAAATTGCAGGGTAAAATCCACAATGGAAGTAATAGTGGAGCCTTGGGCCGTGGATGTATCCTTACTCTCCTTGGTTTATCATCAAGTTCCTCTCTGCTGATAGGACTAGTTCTGCATGTAAAAAACTTATTTACAGATGGTGCGCAAGAAGACGGTGAAAAACAGAATAGCTTTCCTCTCAAAAGAAAACTCTCGACCACACCCGGAAAAAAACAAGGAACAAAAACTCGTGATGGCACAACACACAGTAGCGGCACCCTCACCGTAACTCGCTATAAGAAAAAAACATATGCTGCACTGAAAAGATTTTTTGGGGTACGTCCTGGGGGAAGAAAACGCGGACTCGCTCGTAGCACAACTACGAGGAGAGGTGTGGGGTACAACAATACGACGTTGGGTACAACAACATTGAACACATTTGAAGAAGTCGAACATCATCTTCGTTCGAGCCGCGAGGTCTGCATCAGTAATAAACCCAGGTCTAGTGCTAATCTAATAGGACAAGTTTGCGATTCTCAGACAACAAAATCAGTTTTTTCGGTTTTTGTTCATTTTTTTGCATCGCCTTGAAGATTTGATGCCCCTGCACAAGAAATCACTTCACTTTCTTGATATTCATCGAATGCCTCATCCTATTTACATGTCATCATGCCCGTCATCTGTATTGGAAAGTTCCATATGGTCAATCTTTCAAATCAAAAATCGTCCATGGTTTCACCTTTGTTATAGTCGTCTGTAATCTTTTAGTGGTTGTGGTTGTCGTCAAGCGGTCAGCATGCTGTTGTCCAGCAAGTGAGAGGTCCGTCGAGTATTATCGTATAAAAATCGGTGCAAAAGTTATTGTACTGAAGTGTGGATTCAATATTCAATTTTTCTCTCGACAGCTGCAAAAGCAAGGTGCTGTGGCTTCGTCTCACATGACAACGAGCAAAGTTTTTCTAGAAAGTGATTTCCAACGTCGAAAATGCAGGTATAATCTTCATTCCTCTGTACTATCTGTATCCTATGGTATTGTATATAGTGTTAAGACCTCAAGCTCTTGTGCTGGTTGTGCCGAGATTTTGTTTCATATTGCCTGCTACAAGAGAGCATGGAAAGAAAAAAGTTCCGTTATTATGTGCAAAAAATATCAGCTTGAGTGTAATTCTTCTGCGACAGACACAGAGGCCGTAAACTTTTGCAAACGTAAAAGTCCTCACAAGGCAGTGCAAAATTGCATGCAACTCTAGAAATACATCAAGTTGAAATATAGTATGCGCTGTTACGTAAAAACTATCGCAGTCGCTTCTGCAGCACAAAGAACTAGGGGCACGACCACATCGAAGGAAGATGTGGCAAAGTAGTGCTGTAAATTTTCATTTCAACGTTGTAGCAAAACTCCGTTTGGAAAACAAAAGGCTTCATCTTTTATCTCTTTCATGTTAGGTACCAATACTAGTACAGCTGCTTTTCTTGTTAGCGTATGATAAAATTTTTTAGGCTTTCAAAAATGAGTTGCCCTGTTGTTCGGCGCAACGTACTGGTACAAGTCGGCCTCACTTTCGTATTTCGCAAAAGCAAATCGTAAAAAGAAAAATTATGGTTACATCTACAAAAAACTGCCGCAGGTAGTAGCAGCGCGTCAAGCTGTCATGTATAGAGGCTCTGCACGCGGCCTCTTAGGAAAATTTTCTAGGCATTAAGTGTGCCCTTCCGGTATAGGTAAGAGCTTTCAAGAATTTGACCAACCGTACACGTGCCCGAAAAGCATAAAGTAACGTCCATAGTCTTCTAAGCACGGTTCGCCAGCACGGGCTCGAAATTCATAGATTAACGCCCGTAGTGATCGATGTCCTTTTATCAAATGTAAAAGAAAAAGTGTCTGGGTTTGGAAGAGTGCGCCATTTGTCATGCAGCTTTTCCATGACCCATGAAGCCTGGAATGCAGGACCTAGCATGACAGATTCTGCGCGATCTCTCTCATGCCTATCCTGCATGAGAAACTCCCTCCCGACTTGGTCAAAACGGGAAGACTTTTGGTACTCATGCAACACAGATTTTTGCACGCTTCAGATTTAGCATGACAAGTTGCATTCTTCCAGACCCAGACATATTTGCAGTTGATATAACTTGCGGATGTACGATTGATTCCCGGCCGTCTGCTGGCCGTAACAAAAAAATCACCAATGCGACGAGATTCATACAGCTGTACTAGAAAGCGATAAACGAGTATTATATGGTCTCATTAAATAAACGCAGGTTCATCTGATATTGGCATGAAGCAATGCTAGTAGAATTGTTTGGTTAATAATATGAGAGCATTTTTTGTAATTTTAGGTCTTTTATTTCGTGTAGGTCGTCTATAATAGACTCTTACAATTGATGATAGTATTACAACGTCGTTTTCGTTTTTTCTTGGTTCACCAATATATCAGATAAGTCGAAAATAAACAGTAGCAGTACACCAGTGGTTAACTCGCGTCACTTGATGCTTACTACAAGCACTTACTTCACCATTGGCGCGGGCTGCTTGCCGCCTGGAGTTGTAGGCGCAGAATATGGCGTTCTCAAACGTTACTAGTACACTCTCAACCGTTACTGTTACATGAATTTCACATGCATATGCAAGAGATGAACAGCAACAGAAACAGTTATGTAAAGGGGCAAATCTTCGTTGATCATGCTGCTTTCGCATCACAGATTTGTTGGCACAGATTTGATTGCTGTTTAGCCCTTCGGAGATTTGTCATGCGAAATAGCTTGACTGTCCGGCGGATTGGGGTAGTTTTGCATGAGATTTCACGTAACATCAGTGGAACGTAACGCTTGAGAATCTGATACAGCAGGAACAGCTCCTAGTGTCACCTGCCGTCCCGTCACCGAGGGTTCTTGAGCCTGCGCTGCAGCGGACGACGACGAGATATGAACATGGCCGCTTGATGTTAAACCGCCGTGCTGCAACGTCGTGCTCGAGTCAACAACACCTTGTTGTTGATGTGGTACCACGGTCGTGCGACGCGTTTCCCTTGCGGTCATGAGGCGCTCACCAACGCGGGCGAAGGAGCTAGCCGAACTTTTGCTATAAGACGGCCCCTATGCATTGCAAATATGTTTGGGTCTGGAAACTTGTGATGCTAAAATGTGGACGATGGCAACACTTTTGCATGCAGCTCAGCATGACACCTTCCCAGAATGCTTTCTCATAGGAAGTCCGCATGAGAAACTGCGTTTTTGCATGACAAAAGTGGCTGCGTCCTTTGTTGCTTATGCAATACAGATTTCCCAGTAATGCAGAGCTAGCATTACAAGTTCCAATTTTCCAGACATTTTTGCAGTTGATAGTCCCGACCCCGAGGCCGCTGCCGTAGTGTTGCTCGAACCGGCAGACCGCGTACTTATCCAAGAAGAAAACTGTGTAGATGTAAGCCTGCAATGCAAAGTACGCAACACAGATACATCTGTCATGCTGGCCAGCCATGATGAAGTCCTGTTTTCATATGTTTTTTCTAGTACTAGCTGATGTGCATGACAGGTTTTGTTCTCTGTCATGCAGAGCAAATTTGTCATGCTGTCACTCCAAGACAGCTACACTCACCCAGTTTTTATCTTGCATAGTACTAGGCGTGTGATCAATGGCCGCGCGGGCGGAAAGTGGCGGGGGTGCCGAGGACAGCGAAGTAGATCCGGGTAGAGCAGCCCCTTGATGGCCGCTGGTAGAAGAGCCAGCCCCCAGTAGGGGGCCCCGGTGGTGCTGATGCCCCGTTCTGCTCGACGGCGTCACAGCTTGCGGTAGGGAAACTCCCCCCTGGTGTAGTTGCGCTTGCAGCTGCCCCGGAGCACTGTGGCTAGTCCCGCCCCGAGCTGCCGGCGAAGACGGGGCTCTCGCCGCGGGAAGAGGAGATGGAAAAATTGATGCTGGCGGTTGATGCGGCACCGCAACTGCTGCAGCGGGAGTTGCGCTAGATTGCTGGCTTTGAAGATGATCGCCCGTTTGGAGTCGGAGGGAAGATTCGGTTTCCCTGATTCCCCGCCCGCCACTCTCCGTCCTTGCCACTACACCTGCTCGTCCCGTGCCAAAATTATAGAGCGGATCCGCCGCGACTCTACTCGGAACTTTCGCCGGCGTGTTTATCTTGTAGTCCATCTGCATCGTCTTCAGGAGCTCCTTGTAATTTGACGTGAGATGAAGACCCCCAGTTTTGCTATCTGCTTCCAAAGCCCCCGTGCTTGTGGCTGGGCGGTCGGAAACGCTACGGTGCCACAGAGTTCGAGCCATCGCAGCCTCCAGGGGGTCTTCCTCTTCTTGCTGCAGGAGCTCTGGGTCAACATTTGAAGCAACTTCCCCAGTAGGTGGACGTCCTCGCCCGTCCGCAGGTTGTTGGCGACACGAACTTCTCGATCGCATCTGCAAGATTTCATCGGACATCGCGCGTGACCACAGGGGCCGCCCTTGTTCCTCTTCTTGTTCCCATTCGGGGGCAAAAAGGTCCGGTGACGCAGCTCCTGTAGTTGTCATCAACGTCGGGTCGGAAGAACTCAGCGGGGGAAGTTGTGGATCATGGTGGTCTATGGAGGATTGCAAATATCCCTGGATGTCGAAAAACTTGTAATGCTGAATGGTCATGCTTGACTGTGCCTGTAAGTGCAGTGCAGCATGACAAATGTTTCAAACGCTTTCTCATCCGCAGAACGCATTACGAACTGCGCTTTTGCATGACGAACGTGTCGTGGCGCTCTATTTGCTGCTTATGCAATACAGATTTTTTAGGAATGCGGAACATGCAATACAGGCTCAACCTTCCAGACTCAGACATATTTGCACTCGATACGGTGCTGCGCCGCCGTTTGGTTGATCTTGCCAGGAGGACCACCACCAGCATATTGAAGCGGAGCGCCGCCCGAAGTAGTTTTAGAGGCACTTCTACTGCGGCTCGCCTGCTGCTCCGCACTGGCATTGGTATTGGCAACTACATCTTCTGCACGACTAGCGGTCTTGCCGAGATGAACAATTGGGTCCATAACAAGAGCAGGACTTTCATCTTCAATCGGAGCATTCCTGATGCAGACCTGCGCCAGTTGGTCGCAGAGTCCGGCGATATTATCAACTAGAGAAGAAGGAGCCTCTTCATGATTAGATTGCTGTTCTGGCGCAGGAGGAGGAGAAGTAGGTCCTGCAGCTCCTGTACTATCGGATCCTGTAGCACAACAACCTGACGGTGTTTGATCGATCTTATCAAGTGGATCGCCAGCATGCTGCCGGTTATTTTGAGCGCCCGAAGTTCCAGAGGTACTTCTGCTTTGGCTCGTCTTTTCAGCCTCTTCACGCGGATGTTGCTGTTGCGCAGGAGGAGCTCCTGCACCTGTATTAGATCCTGTACCTGCAGCTTCAGTATGATTCTTACGGGCGGCCGTTTCTTGTTCATCATCTTTGCCGTGACGACGGGTCGACGACGTTCTTGGCGACGGTTCTTCACAATTACGCAGCTCAACATCCTCGACCCCAGACCGGTGTTCTATCGCAAGAAAAAACTGTTTCACTATGAACTTGTGATGCATAGAATAGAACGCAGAACTATTTGTCTTGCTACACCTGCAAGCTATTGGATTTTTAAGCGCGTTTTCCCTTGGAAAGCGCGCACGGCAAATTTTCTGTGTCATGTGTAGCAAACTTGTGATGCGGATCTTGCAAAACCATCACAGTGAAACAGTTTTTTCGTGGGATATGTTCTTCATCCACTTTATTCATTTTCGACGGAGCAGCTACAGGTGCCGGCTTTGCGTCCGCGTGCTGCTCTACTAGTGCTTGCACATCAGCGGAAGAAGTTTTTGTAGTGGTAGTTTTATTGTTCTTCCCACCTGCGGCGCCGCTCGTGGTCGACGTCCACTTATCATCTACTATAGGATTGCCTGCTAGATCAAAAACCCGGACGACCTGCTGTCCCGGGTGGACACCGCGTGCTGTGTTCTATCAAATGCAAAAGCATCGTACTAGTATGAATTGCATGACAAATTTCCTCACCATGAGAAATGGAATTTGTAATGCTGATTGACATAACGAAAAAGATTTGTAATGCATAACTGCAATGACTACGAGTACGAGACCTTTGCACTGGATATGTTCCTTGAACACGCAAGGTTCGTCCTGGACGCAAGGCTGTGCAGTATCCTGAGTAAAAACGTCCCCACACCAGAGTTGTCATGCAGATTTGCCATGACAGGAACATTTGTGATGCGCAACCCCATGACAGGCATTTTCAATCGTGTTTGGGAACTTGTAATGCTGTAAACAGGATCAGCAGATCGATTTGTGACGCGGCTTTCCTTGCTAACTTGCACCACCTTACGGACTGAAACTTGTCATGCGTGACTCACAAAACTCCTAGGCTTGTGTTGCAAAATCCCCATCCTGAGACTGGTGTGGGTACGTTTTATTTTACTCAGGATATGCAGGTTTTTGTCGGTAAGAGGACTAGCGAAGGTTGATTGCTCTACTGGCCCTCGAGATCCACTGTCCGACCTCGGCTTGCTATGAGAGTGCACAACTAGAAGTACTTACCCCTCCCCATCATTTGTCTATGCAAAATACAAAACCAACACTGTGCCTCTTTGCACTGTTTGCATGACAAGTTTTGGCATCTCAATGAATAGCACGACCAACTTCCTGTGCGAATTTCTCATGCAAAACCTGCATTCTTGCTGACGCTTGTATTGCTGTTTATGCGATGCAAATGAGGGGGAGGGGGAGTAGTTGTGCACTGTCATACTTGAGCTGGTCCTCGTCGCCGATATCTTCCTCGTCCAACATTGACTGTATCAACTGCAAATATGTCTGGGTCTTGTCATGCACGTTTTGCATGAAGCATGATCGGTCTGTGATGCATGCCCCAGCATCACTGACTCTTTGACCGCTTCTTGATGCCTCTTCCGCATGACAAATGCCCCTACGACCGCGTAGCAAAAGTTACATTCTCTTATTTGCTATTGCTGCTCATGCAATACAGAGTTTTCCGGAATTCAAATGCAGCATCACAAGTTCTTGCATTCTTCCAGACATCCAGACATATTTGCAGTTAATAGACTGGCCTGAAGAACGCACTCCGACGTCCCACAACTCTTGCACATCCTGGATGATGGTTACCTCGTTGCGCTATCGTGAGGAAAAATCCCCATTCCCTGTATCGAAAAGGAGATTTGTGATGCTGGATTTGAGTGCACAAATTTACATGTATTGCTAGAAGGCCAAGAGACGCAGACGCGGCCTCACTTGCAGGCAATTTGTCATGCTCTTTCCCGCTTCCAGTTGCTTCCTGTCATGCTGAAGACGCAAGGCTGACTCAGGTCAGCCAGCCCTACGGTCTGGATCTCTTTCGTTGTAGCATCACAGCGGGACTTGTGATCACAAATCATGCTACACAAATCTCCATTTGAGTATGGGGAGGCGAGGTAGTTTTTCATTGTAATATGCGCTCGTAAGAAGGACCTTCATGATCGGGCGCGGCCCCCGCCCCGATTCCATTCGATCGGCCTGCATATGCTGTGCAAAAGCACCGCACTCGTAGTACTAATCGCATTCATGCATTGCAAATCTTTTTATTCAGGTAAATCCGCATTACAAAATCCGTTTCTAATGCTGAGCAAATTTGTAATGCGATTTCTACTAGTACGATACTTTTGCAAGGCATACTGCAGCCCGGTCGGCAGTTCCCACGCTCGCGGACGACAGTATCCCGTTGCCACCTCCCGAGGAATCACCTCCAACCACACTCGTGAGCCGCATTCGCAACATGGCCAGCAGGTCGTACCGCACGTTTTCCTGTCTCTCCCGGATATTTTCCCTCCGCTCGCGCCGCCGATCTTGCTCTTGCTTGGATCGTATCAAATGCAAATATGTCTGGGTCTGGAAACTTGTGATGCTACAATGTGGATGATGGGAAGAGTTCCGAATGCAACCCAGCATGATAACTTTCCAGAACGCTTTTTCATAGGCAATCCGCATAAAAAAATGCGTTTTGGCATGTACAAAAGAGGCTGCGACTTTTGTTGTTTATGCAATACAGATTTTCTAGGTATGGAAAGATAGCATTACAAGTTCCAACCTCCTAGACCCAGACATTTTTGCAATCCATAGATCGCGCCAGTTCGTTCCGCGCGACCTCCTGCACTGTGGTTTCTTGTTTTGTACGTGGACCAATAAATCTGGTTGCGTCGTCCTATCCTGAGCAAAAACGTCCCCACCCCAGAGTTGTCATGCAAATCTGCATGCCAAAAATGTTTCTCATGCGGAGCCCCAACATGAGAAGCATTTTCTATGCGTGTTTGGAATTTGTGATGCTATAATCAGCATGATATACTAGATCTAAGATGCTGCTGAACTACCTAAACAGGATGACACTACGAGGACAAATTTGTCATGCCAAACGACCAAAGGTGGCTGATTTGTCTAGCAGATTTCCCATCTTGACTCTGGTGTGGGGACGTTTTTGCAAATAATACGACCACCGCGGAGGTCATCCCACTCTCTAGTGCTCCCATGATGCACACTATGCGTTGCAAAGCTGTCTGGGTCTGGAAGATCGCAACTTGTCATGGTAATTCTGGATACTGCAGAAATCTGTGCTGCATGATTACCAAAAGCTGTCCACTTTTGACCAAGCTGAGAGGGAGCTTCTCATGCAAACGAGGCATGATAGAGGTCGGGGAGATGAGTCTGTCATGCTGGGGCATGTATGACAGACCGCACGCACCATAGAAAACCTGCATGACAAGTCTTCCAACCTTCCAGACCCAGACATTTTTTTTGTATTTGATACACATTCCGTGGTTACAATTGTCGCTTCCATAGACTTATGAACTGCAAAAGCATCGTACTCGTATAAATGCATTACAAATTTCCTTAGCATGAGAAATAAAATTTGTAATGCGGGTTCACCTTAAGAAAAAGATTTGTAATGCATGACTGCAATACGAGTACCATACTTTTGCACGGGATAACACTCCGGAATCCGCGCCGCCATTCGCTCTGCTGCCAGACAAAAAAGACCCGTTATCGTTCTCGTAAACGGTATGGAAGTGTCAGAATCGAAATTGATAAAATCGAAAAACTTGTGATGCATAAAATCGATACCAGTTGGATCCTCAGTTTGCAAGCGGCGCATGACAAATTTCGGGAGCACCGAAATCCTGTCTGTCATGCTGTTTGAGCAAAGAAGACTGCTCCTGTCATGGTACTCTGGCAGCACATTGCATACCCCTAAACAGGCTTACAATCTGTCTCATTTGCCTGCTCCCCAATACAGGCCTCGAGTGCCCTACATTTTACGCATCACAAATTTTTCGATTTTGTCGATTTCGATCCTGACACATCCATAAACGGCGGTTCGGCTGCTCGCGTCGGAGTCCGATACTGTCTATCAAATGTAAAAATGTCTGGGTCTGGAAGAATGCAAGATTTGTGATGCAGGTTTTCCATGAGCCATGAGGTCTGGAATGCGAGACCCAGCATGACAGATTTTTTGAGGTCTCTATCATGCCTTTCCTGCATGAGAAATACCCTCTCAAGAATTTGGTCAAAAGCGGACAGCTTCTGGTACTCACGCAACACAGATTTTTGCATCATTCAGATTTAGCATGACAAGTTCTGACCTTCCAGACCCAGACATTTTTGCAGTGGATACTGTCATCTCGCTACTGGGGGTCTTCTTTTTGCGCCCACTGTGGTAGGTATGACAGTACACAACTCCTCCTCGTTCCCCCTTATTTGTATTCTGCATGAACAGCAACTATACAGACACCCCCACCAGTGAAGCCTATGCATGACAAGTTAGTGTGCCTAGAGTAGAATAGTACTGTTTGGGCTTTTTCCGGAAAATTCTGTCATGCAAACAGTACCACGCAGCAGCGCTTGGATTGCAGATTTTGCATAACAAACGAGGGGGACGAGGGGGAGTTGTGCACTCTCATAGTAGGGATCTGGATCCGGCGGAGCCACAGCCCGGTCCTGTCGCGACACGAAGCTCCCTTTACTGCTCTTTTTACCGTCGCTGCCACCACTTTCCGGAGGCGTTGCGAGGAGACCCTGGTGACGCCCGCCTGGTCGTCGGGGGTGTTTCTTTTCATTTTCTCCTCCTGGTGTTCGTATGAAGTGCAAAAGTATCGCACTCGTGTAAATGCATATACAAATTTCCTCAGTATGAGAACTGAAATTTCTAATGCTGATCTACCTCAAGAAAAAGATTTGTAATGCATGATTGCAATACGAGTACGATACTTTTGCACAGCATAGCTCGCTGCGGCTGCGGCTGCAAGGCGAAGGACCGCGGTCCTTTATCGCGAGGAAAAATCTACTCCCCTCCCCATACCGAAAAGGTAGACTTTCGGAAATTTGTGATGCTGAGTTGCGGCCATAAATCGCGTCTGTCTTGCAAGAAGGCAACTCCGCAGGCTCAGCCGCATTGTGCAGGCGGTTTGTCATGCAGCTGGGCCTACAGCGCGGACGTTTTTCATGCTAAACGCCTAGGCCAAAACCTCTCTACTGACACTTGGCATGGGCCTGCAGTCCTCTCCAGCAAGACAGCTCGGATTTGTGTACACAAATCCAGCATCAGAAGCTTCGTTTTGGTATGGCGAGGGGGGATTTTTCCTTTTGATATTCTTGACCGCCGGGCACCAGCTCGCGCCACCACCTCGGCGGGTCGCCTCCTATGCATTGGAAATATCCCTGGATGTCTGGTGGAAACTTGTGATGCAAGGAAGAGAAGAGTGAGCACTCTGTAATGCGCTGCACAGCATGGTGAGTTATTTTTCCGCGGTTCTGAGGTGCGTACTCCGCATGAGAAACTGCGTTTTTGCATGACAGGCGAGAGGAGCTCTTCGCGGCCACGCAATACAGATTTCAGAGTCATACCAGCCTAGCATGGCAAATATAGGAATCTCCCAGACCCAGACATATTTGCATCTGATACCTTCCGAATGAATGCCAGCAAGGTTGTGGTCGCGCAAAGTGGCGTAGGCATTGTGCTTGGTGAGGACCTCGCTGGTGAGCCAGGGCTGCGCGAACTGGGTACCACTCGCAGCATATCCTGTGCAAAAGTGTCGTTCTCGTCTAGCAATCATGCATTACAAGTTTGTTTCTTCAGGTGAGTCCGCATTTTACAGATTTCATTTCTCATGCTGAGGAAATTATTTGTAATGCATTTATACGAGTACGATACTTTTGCACTGCATACAGCACCTCCACCAGACGAGCTTGAAGCTGAGGTGGTAGTTGTGCCACCACGACTATGCAAGAAAAAAACTGTGTAAGTGTAACTTTGTAGTGCAGAACATGCAACAGAGTTACACCTGTCATGCCAGACAGCCATGAAGTCGTTTTTTCATGTGTGTTTTCCCTTACAAGCCAGGCATGACAGGTTGTCGCTGTCATGTAGTGCCGATTTGTGATGCTGTCAGCCAAGAAAAGCTACACTAACAGAGTTTTTTTCTTGCGATAACGACCTCCACCGCTTTTTTTCCCACCGCGAGCTGTTGTAGTAGTGCCCCCGGCAAATAAACCGGTAGCTGCGCTCGAGGAAGCTCCTGCCTCGGAAGTTCTTGGTTCTTGGTGCGGGGCCTGTTGTGTTTTTCTGTTGTGATTTTTGTTTTTTTTGCTATGTGACGATGTTGTCGTTGGTGGAGCTGCTCCGGTTAAAAATCCACTTGAGTTTTCATCTTTTTCTGCATTTAATACTGGCCCAGCATTTCCTCTCCCTCTCCGCTGCTGGTGCTCAGAAGTACAAGAACTTTGCTCACTACTAGTGGCGAAGGCCAGCCGCGGCACGGAAGATTTATTTTGCACTTCTTTATCTAGATTAGTAAAACTAGCCTGTAAAGATGAAAGCAGATGATGCCCGCTTTGATGTTCCTTTTTTTCTCGGTCGTCCTCCGAAAACAAGCGTCGCTCTTGCTGTGGAAAATGAAAATCTTCACCGGGCCGGGTTGTAGCACTATCTTCCCGGGGTGGCGCAAGTCGCGCTGCCAGCGCTGATGCACCACCTAAATTTCCCGCAACGTAGGAGGACGAAGATGAGGCTCCTGATGACGGGGCGATAAGTTCTTGCATTTTTGCTTCGGTGAAAGCGGATGACCTGCCGGCCGCTCCTCCAAGAACACCTCCACCCTCCAGTAGAATTGACGCGCTGGAGGCGGATGAGGGTCGGGAAGAAGAGGCCGTTGTGAAGATCCTGGCGCGACGACTCACACTTAATTTCGCGACAGCAGCTGCGGGGCCTACGCCCAGGAGTGATATTGCTGGAAAATCAGTAGTATCAAATGTAAAAATGTCTGGGTCTGGAAGATTCTGAGACTTGTCATGCATGTTTTGCCTGGGCCATGATGTCTGTGATGCATGCCCTCGCATCACAGATTTTTTGAGGGCCTCGCGATGCCTATTCCGCATGACAAATGCCCTCTCCGCGTAGCAAAAATTACACTCCCTTTGCTGCTCATGCAATACAGATTTTTTTGGAATCCAAATTCAGCATCACAAGTTGCATTCTTCCAGACCCAGACATTTTTACATTTGATAAGTAGTAGTAGCCCCCGTGCTGTCGTGGCCCCCTTTCCAGAAACTCCACGACCTCCACGCCTGGTCATCATTCGTGCATCTTTTGTAGCTGTTGTGCGACTGCGACCTTCTTCGCCTTTCTTCATGTGGACGAGTCGACGCGATATCAGAAGTGGTCGTTGTAGTAACATGATCAAGCGAATAAAGTCGTGGGCCCCCGCTCGTCCACCCGCCAAGCAGACTGACCACACCGACCAAGAAGTTGTACCACGAGGACGACCCTGGTTGTAATAGAAGCTGCTGGTGTAGTTGATGTGTAGTCGTCGGCATGGGGGTCGTGGAAACAAGCGTACTCGAAGTGGAAGCTGCGCGTGCGTCCGCGGATAGGCTACAATCACAACTGTTCCGAAGCAGAGGTACTGCAGGTCCTCGTTCACCCACTTCAACACATTGCGAATACAATCCCGCTCCATGGTTGTGGTCCATGTTCTCCTCAAAAACCGGTGTTGTTCCACAGCAGCTATAAAGGTAGTTGTCCCCGGAACAAAATAGAAGTTGGTCATCATCTGGCGCTATTTTGAAAAACCAACTCGGTATTTCTTGCAGAAACAGCGGCAACACCATAAGTTTGAAGAAAACACGGTAGAAAAAACAGCTGTGCTCGTTTCTCGTGCCTTGATGATTTTGCGGCGGGGGCCGGGACGTGCCAGTAAAAGATATTGTTTTCGACGCGGTCATGGTCACGCGACGGTGGCTCCAGTTTAAAATGTTGGGGACATCACCTTCCTGTTTCCTTTCACAAACGGGAACCACACGGGTGTCAGGTTTGTCTTGGCAATGACGACGCGTCCAGAGTACTACGTCGGCTCCTCCTTTGCGGCTTCTGCACTGGTGAGTAGAGGCAGCACGACTACACATTTGATGCGACAGAAAAGACCTGAAAGTGCAGCGGCGCCAGAAACTTGACCACAGAGGTGTTGTTCCTGTTCCTCGTCTTCTATCGAAAAATATTGATGGAATGCCCGCTTTGGTCCTCGTTTTAGCATCGTGCAAACGGTGCGTGTGCAGCTTCGGTGCTTGACAGCTTCTGTGTCGGAAAAAACAACACCTGCTTCTCGTTCTGATTACAACCCCTCGCGTGCACGACTCGTCCCGTCGGCGGGCTCGCTTTTTACTGCCTGGTGTCCTAGTGCTTGCAACGACCTCCATATTCTCCGCACAACTCGCGGTCCTAGTTCTTTCCCTTGGTAGTTGTCGTGTGGTGCCGACGTCGGCCACAGCGTTGTTCGTTGTCGTACTTACGCCGTGCAGCTGCGCAGAAGGCTGCAACTACTCGGTCGATATCTTGATGCAGGGGTGAAAAAAAGTAGAAGTTCTTGCCTTGTCGTGGTCTCTAGCACCGGAAAATAAATCTTCTGCCATCGTCATCATCCTGTTCATTCACCAGATGTGGTACTTAAGTAGAGCGCCCCGAAGATTGATCATGCGTTGAAGCCAAGCACTACTGGAGCCGACGAAACGTTTATTACAACGTGGCTGCAGCGACTAGTACAACTTCGGCAGCGAATCGTCCTGCCTCCAGCTGCGCCCCCGCACGACGACAGCCTAACAGCGAATCTCGTCGTAATATAGTATTTGCTGTTTGATTTCTCCAATCTCTCGTGGTCGATGTTGATGTCGCCAATCGCACTCCGTCGTCCTTATTCCGTGGCTCAGCCTCTTCACCTCTTGGTCAACTCCAGGAAGATGGAAAAAAAGTGCTGGAAAAAGAACCTGATGAACCTGTGCACGAATTTGTATTGCACAAAATGCAGTCTAGTAGAAAAAGTTTGCATTTTTCATGCATAACTCCCATCTGTGAAAGAAGTTTGAGTTAGAAGGTTTTTCATTTCATACTGTCGTAGTAAGACCTTATACCTGTCCTGGATCAGCTTCACCACTAGTTCATCAGATGATGTGGAAGAGCCAGAGTAAAAAACAGCTCACCCTCAGACATAACTCAATCATGAAGGGACGAGCACGGAAAGAAATACGCACGGGCGCACCATTCAGTTTGTACATATTTGTAATTTTTTCGCTCAAGAAAACTCAAGCAAGTAGAAAATCAAGATGCTGACTTGAACTTGTTGTAGAAGCATAGTAATAAAGCTTTTTTGCTATAAACAATTTCGAAACAATCTGAATACAGCAGTTTAAAAGACACAAGTAGACAGTTTGCAATTTAGTGGAACGGCCGGAGGTGAAAAAAAAACATTACGGAGTCGGCCGACGCCAACCAACGATGAGGCCAAAAAATATTTTTTTTTTTTGCAGAATTCCTGGTTTTTCGTAAGATGTGGACAGGATCAACACGAAGACGAAAACAAGCGTCGCCGCGGTTGACAAAAAAAAACAACACCGCGGACGAAACAGATGCGCATAGAAGAAGTTGCGATCAATGTAGGTGTCGGCGCTGCGGTAAATCAAAATTGCAGCACAGAAAACGTAAGTGACGGCACTTTATTTGGAACGACGGACAAATATCAAAATACGAACAAATGATCTTTGGCGTACGTGGTCAATCTTCCATAGGCACCATTTTTCCCGATCTCAGTCTATCGGATAAGGATAAGGTCCTGTCGCTGCTGCATCTTTTGTAAATGTAAGTCAGTTTTTGTTACTACTCTTGGAGAGGAGGCAAAGTGTACGATATTGACTTTTCATTCATGTTGCTGCGTCCATTTCTTTGCGCCGATAAATACGAACCCAATAACCCAGTTTCCATGTATCGCAGTTTGCTCAAATTCGAAATACTAATTGTAATTTGCGATTGCGGCCGCTATGGGCTATAATTACTCTAAACCGGAACTCTACTGTACGAGCGCGAGACTACCTGTAGTTTTTTCCTATGCACTGAAATTTCATGCGGTAAGGGTCAGTTATGAGAATGCCTTTCCAATTGCGAAATCCGATATTAAACAATGCAAAATTTGGCTGTAGAGCAGGCGATGCGTTGCAAGTCTTTGTCTTTGGCAGGATACAAAAAAGTTCGAGTTATGGCTGCCTTTTGTTCTCTTTGCTTTTCATTTTCACACTGTGACTCCTGTCGTAGTTGTCCCAATAACTTCGTTATTCCATACAGTACTACAAATGGAAAATTTATTCAGGTAGTAGATCACCAAGCCATAGCGACACCTACCCAGAAAATGATCAGTTCTACACACTTTAAGAAAAGCAAGTGATATAATTTTTTGACCCTGCGGGAGACCAGTCAAACTGAAAGAAGTCTAGTATTTCGTTTTCACCGAAGTAGAAACTTTACTGAATTGTGTTCGTGCTGTACTAGCAGCAGTTCAGAAAGCGGATGTAAGTTTTGCAGACACGATCTTAATGTAGTGTACAGATTCTATTTGTTCTAAAATAGTCATGCCGGTGGTCGTCTCTCGACCGATCCAGACACAGAGGAAGAGGAAGTCAAATTCTAGCAATAATCCTTGATAAAACACGTATAAGTAAAATTCGGATGCAGGTTAACCTTAATTGAAAATGCTACCAAGGCGACCTTCGAACGAAACAAGCAGCTCCCGCCACTCTCGCAGTTTCACCTGCTAGAAATCTTGTAATGCAAAGCTACTTCCCAAAAATCTCCTCCTGCTGATTTCACTCCGGCTATTCCTTCTTGATGTCCTGCGTGCCGCCTGATCCTCTGCTGCTTGTGTTTCGCGTTCGCCTGGCCGCCGCGTCTGCTCCCGCCCGTGAGGATCGGCTTCGCGAGCGATACTCATCTTCATTGGATGCAGGAGCGGTCGTCGGGCCTGCTGGTCGTGTCAACATTTCTGATGTGATACTTTCGTCTTCTTGCGCAGTTCTCGTGTTTCCCCACGGCCGCACTGGCCTCCTCGCACTCCCCGCAGCTCCTGAGCTGCTGCTACCGCCGTTGTTGCACCGTCGGGGCGGCGGAGGTGGAAATCCGATGAAGACGGAAGAGTTCATTTGCGCAGCGGTGGAGGAGCTGGATTTCGATCCTCCCCTCGTTGTTGTGGATTCGTGGTTGTAAACTGTTCGTGCGCCGCTTCCACCCCCGCCGCCAGAAGACGAATTCTTCGAACTATTGCGGCTGTGCGTATCGTCAGAACTAAACCTTCTCCAAGGGATGACTGGGAGTTGTGAGGAACAGTTGGAGCCCGCATCCTCGCAAAACCGAGCGGGCGGCGAGGGTCTGAAAGGTGTTGTACGACTGCCTGTAGGCCGGTCGTCGTTAGAAGTACAGCTGCTTCTCGCAGCCGCATTTGCGGTGGTGGGAAACAATGATCCGAGAATGTTGCCGTAGGTGGTGCAAACCCGCGCCGGCGGTAAGTTCAGTGCCGGTTCTTCTGATAAATACTTTACCCGCCTCTCCCCAGAAATCTCGTCGAAGCCCGCAGAGGACGAAGAAGTGCTTGACCTGTTGCTCACGGGTGAACAAGCAACAGCAGCTGCAGCGGAAGCAGCGGCAACATTTTCTTCTGTAGCCATAGCCGTAGCCGTAGCCTTAGCCACGGCCTTCGGCGCAGCCTCAACAGCGGTCTCTGATGTTGTCAGCGGTCGCATGAGGCAGTGTTTCTGACACTGTTTGTCGCTTCCCGTGTTACTGCTTGGTTCGCTTTTCACGATGTTATTGTCGCTAGAAGAATTTTGCCCGCTATGAAATGCAAAAGCATCGTACTAGTAGTAGTAACCGCATTACAAATCTGCTAAGCATGACAAAAGGAATTTCTCATGCTGCTTTACCTTGAGAAAGAGACTCGTCATGCATAATTAGGATTACTACGAGTACGATACTTTTACACAGGATACCCGCTGCTGTTCTGGAGTTCGTCGTCTAAGTTGCTAAGAAAGGTAGCAAGGGAAGACCGGGTTCGGGAGGGTAGTTGCGCGGGCTCCGACTTAGAGCCATCGTGAAGATCATCCTCTCCTTCGTGTTGTTGCCGGTCTACTTGCTGAGAACTTGTTGCTAGCAGCTGCAGCGGAGACAACATTCTGCTGCTCGTAGTGCTACCTTGGTCCTCGCTCTTGTGACCACCTGCAGGACCAGGAGCAGCAGCAGCAGCAGCAGCGCCGCCCCGCTCCCCGTCCAGAAACAACACTACAGTCTTGTCAATGGTCCTCGTAGGCGTCGGGGGAATTGCTGGGTCCTCGGCGACGGCTACGACATCGGGTGCGGCTGAGGGCCGTCGAGATGTTGGGGTGGAAGATGGGCGGGGAAGCAATCGGCCCTCCCCTGGTTATCAAATGTAAAAATGTCTGGGTCTGGAAACTTGTGATGCTGGGTGGCGTATCATGAGGAAGCCATGAGTGCTGGCTCAGCATGACAAAATTCTGAGCTTCTAGGTGTTGCCTATTCTGCATGACAAACTGCGTTTTTGCATGACAGGAAATTGGGGCTCTTGGGTAACCTGCATGACAGGTTTAAGAGTCATGCCGGAGAAGCATGACAAATCGCGCATTCTTCCAGACCCAGACATTTGTACATTTGATACTGGTCGTTGTCGTCCCACTGGTGCCACCGCGCCATCCTTGTTCAACACTCCTCCGAGCTGTAGTTCGGTCGCTTCCTTGTTCGTCGTTGTTTCGTGCTCAGCCTCAACGCTTGTCGCAGGAGCAACGACCTCCGCCACTGGAGCAGCTGCGCGAGATGAGGATGGACATGGAGTGGGTGTGGGAAAACAAGTCCCATAACTTTCTTTCTCCACCCCGCAGAAAGCGGTAATTCGTCCGTCGGAAGTACAAGAGGAGGAAAACTGTTGTACAAACTCTCCCGGCACTCCCAGTTGCGAGATCGTGCCGGGTCTTTTCCTCACAGTCACAGCACTAGAAGACGCAGTCGTTGTTCCTACTGGTCGTGCTTTGTTTCCATCACAAGTAAGCCTCCTCGTGGTCCCGACTGGTACATTTTTCGGACTCAGTAGCGCCGCTGCCGTCCGGTCGTTCTCTGCGACTTCTTCGCCCGCAAAACCAGTACTGCAATGGGCAGCATGCGGAGGCGCTACCAGCGGTTCTAGCCGTCTGGGTGGAGAGATTTGTTGCGACGAAAAGCCGCGGTTGTTCGTGGGGGTTGTGATTAAGAACAAATCGACTGGAGTCGTGGCGCTTCTATCCTTCCTGGTTGAAATCGCCTCTTCGCGCAGTTGCACAACAGGAGTACCTGCACATGCTGCAGTAGAAGAAGAAGATGCGGTCGAGAATGAAATGTCGACGCTGTCGTGGTGGTTGTAGTACGACGTGCCGGTCTTCGTGCCTCCACTCGGAGTTTCATTTTTTCCAGCACGTGGCTCGTCCTCGTGTCCTTCGGAATAAAAAACCACTTGTTCGCCTTCACGTTCGTCTTTATTTGCTCGAAACAAGCCTGCCCTCCTCGATGAAAGAGAAGATGCTGTCGTCGCGGTCGAAGATGGGGTTGGCAAAAATTGCAGAATTTTTTCCGCCTGGTTCGCTGTTAAGCTGGCCGCGGGAACAGTGCCTCGCAGCGGCGACATTATGACAGCAGTGGTTGAGGCCCTCCCGACAGAGCTAGAGACGGAGGACGTTCTGGTATTCAATCTAGCCTGCTGGCGCGCAGTGCCGCCTGAATTGCCCGACGTGGCCGTTGTACTCGTTTCTACCGTCGATGAAGTTTCCGTCCGCGCAGCTGCTGGACCACCAACAACAGCAGCTACCCCCGGATGTGTGTGGTAATGCTGCCTCGACACCAGTATCCAATGCAAATATCGATCTGGGTCCTCTGGAACCTTGTGATGCGAAAGTGTGGATATTGGTGGAATAAAGACTTCCAAATGCAGCCAAGCATGACAACTTCTTTCCAGAACGCCAGCGCTTTCTCATGCGCAGCCGCATGAGAAGCTCGTTTTTGTATGGCACAAGAGGCTGTTACTTCTTGTTTCGTCTGTCATGCAATACAGATTTCAGTTTCACAGGAAAAAAGTAAGAGCAGCACTTGTACAAGTTCGAAGTTTCCAGACACAGCAGATCGATATTTGCAATGCGTAACCGGTCTCCTTCTAGCCATCCCCCGCCTTTGGTCGGCCGCTTCGCGGTTTACTGCGGACGAGACCGTAGTAGTTGATACCGGAGAGAGCGACAGGCTAAAATCGCTTTCGTCGTCTGCGTCATTAGAATTCCCCGTGTCGATGCGCGGCGCATTGGAAATGATGTGCAGCAGCGGTGGCGGGCGGGGGATCTGCCTTCTCGCGGCCGTGGTGGTTCTCCTCTGGGAGGTGGAGGGTTGCTGTTGTTCTCCTTGAGGAGCTCCTGCCGCAGGTTGTGGTGTTGTTTTTGTATTGCCAGTTGTTGTACTTGCCGCAGCAGTGTTCATGCATGTGCTTGCAGAAGTTTGTATTGCAGAAGCTGCTTCTGTGCCCTCGTCAAGCTGCGCCATTCCTCGAACAGAAGATGACTCCGAAATTGATGTTTCCTGTACAGGTTGACAAGGAGTACGTCGCCTTGCCTCGAGCTCCTCCGATGACGCTCGCGCGGAAAAAGCCGCACTAGAAGTCGCAGCCCTACTTTTTTGCTCCGCCAGAAGTTGTTGTCGTGTTTCGGATATTTTGTTTTGCGAAGATGACGATGATCTTCCTGTGCTGTTGGCAACATGTTGATCTACTTGCTGTGCATCTTCAATTTGGGACTCCCGTATTTTTACTGGGTCAGCACCAGCAGCATGGTTGTGTGCACGTGCACCAGGCGACGGTGGTGCAGGTAGTCCGGAGGACGCCACTGCAGTCGAAGCTTCCGGTACGAGAAGCGAGAAAAAAAAGCAGAAGACGCGACCGCTACGATGAAAGGCTGCACGACAACCGAGCCGGAGCAGAAGGAACATTTTTTTCAGAATATAAATACCAAAGACAAGAAGGGGCGGCAGAAAAAACGATTCTGTGTTTTCCATAGGGACTGCCTACCGGAACTATTTCGAGCTGCTGTGCGATTAGTTGCACTGCGCCAGATGTTGCTCTCGCTTGTTTGCAGACTACAAAAAAAGGCGAGCAGAGCCAGAGCCATCGATCTGCTCCAGAACACCCACGAAAAGCGGCATTTTATCGTTTGAAGCTCACGGGTATTGAGGCTTCTCTTGTTATTGGGAACTTAGGGCGGACAGTAAAGACGGTTGAGGCCGGGTGGCGAAAAGCTTGAAAACTTCTGCACGTGCGCGCCAACCAGTCACACTGAGGCGACTGGCCCCATCGCAGTGAAGGCGCCCCGCCTGCTTCTGCTCTCGCGGGCGCGGCGTCGCACACATTAAAAACATTCATGCAAGCGCGCCGGCGGCTTCCTTGAGTGACGCCGTGACATTTGGCACCACGCAGCGAGCCAACAAAGTAGGCGGGCCAAAAACGCGGGGCCGGGCCGGCAAATGCGGGGCCGGCGCGCGGGCCAATCCGCAGGCACAACCAGAAAACCAATGCCGGGCGGCCCTCAGCCCGGCGCGCGGCCAGGGTGGGGATGCCGTGTCGCGACTACTTAGCAGCGGGCCCGAAGGAGATGCCGCGCGGCAGGCTCTCTCTCGGCGGGCCGTTCGCTGCCTCACCGCGCGCCGGCGGCGATACATATCGGCCGCCGGGACCAACCAAACTAACGAGGCGCGCACCAGGCTCACCGACCTCGATCCCGTGCCCTGCGTTCGTCTGTCGACGCGCGCGCGCCCCGCGCCCATCTTTCTCGCAAATACTTCGCCCGCCAGCGCCCCGCAGTCTCCGGAGGGAAAGGCCAGGCGCAGGAGGCCAAGGCCCACGCGGTTCTCCTGGCCGCCCCCCCCGAGTCACCTGGCCGGCCTTCTGCTTCTCCGAATGAACTACCCCGGCCCCTGCAGCACAGACGCAGAATGGCCGGCCGGTCGTCGCGGCTGCTTCCCCTCACAAAAACCGAGACAATGGAAACGGGCGCTACCGCCGAGCGCCCCGGGCCGGCAGCCGGGCGGGGCCCGGCCAATCGGGGCACCACACTCGGCCAACCGCGCAGGGCTTTTGCGCTCGCCTTGCCACGCGCGCCGACCTCCTCCGAAGCTTTGCCCGTCTTCTTCTGCGGGCCACCGGGGGGGCCACGGCTTCGAACACCCGGGGGGGCTTCCACCGAGTCGGGAAAGGTCGCACGCGCGCCCCGAAGTCACACAATAAGCGAGGCCGCAAAGAATGACTGCGCCCGGCCCGAGTCGCTCGCCCTTGTGTATGGGGGCGCCAATGCCGTCGACTGGGTCGCCGCCGCTGGCACCGCGCCGCACTTGTCCCAACTGTGTAGGGCGCTCCGCTAGTGGCCCACGCAGCAGCCGCCACCCCGCCCGCCCCCGTCCACGGCCGTTCACCCATCGAGCGCCGCAGCAGTTACATACCCGCCCGGCCGGTCGGGGCGCCACACTTATGCCACCACGCCGATAGAAGGCACTGCGCCGCAAGGGGCTGCCGCCGTCTGGGCGACCCCAACCGGGCCAGCGAACCAGGCAGCAAGCCGAGGCCGCGGAATGCCCCTGGCCTGCAAGCTAGCTACAGGCTCTTCCCTCACAACTCTGGGAGGTCGTGCGCCCTCTGGCTGCCGAACCTGGAAGGAGAAAGAAACAAGGTAGGGGCGCCGCGCGTCTGCAGCCCACTGCTGGGCAATGCCTTGCCTCCAAACCCCTCGCGCGATGTTCTTCCGTCAACCTGCTCGGCCTGGCCGAGGCTGCCCGCCCCCCGCAGCGGGCCCGCAGGAAGGCCATCGGCCCCGCGCGCCTCCAGGCGGCTCTCTGTCTCCCGGCCGGCCTCATGGAGCGCATGCGGCCCAACCGCCGCAAGTGGCGGCCGGGCGAACTGGCCACGGGCCGAGGCGGGCCGACCCCTTTCCGTCGTTGCTGCCGGCCAACGCTCTGTCTGGATTTTAGGGCTTTGTGATCTCCGTGCCAGCTGGAGCAAAATTCGATCCAAATTTTGCGAATAGCTTCAGTCGCTAGAAGCAGCTCAGAACACCAGGAAAAGGAGAAACACGTGTACGTTGACCTCGACGTGGCTCAACGGCACATGAAATTCACAGGAGCTCACGGCGTCAGGAATGATAGAGTACGTGATTTTATTTGTGGTTTTCGCACGGGTTCATTTATGCAGAATAGAAATCAACAATGGCATAGATTTTTAGAGCCCCAAAATTATATATGATACATAGAACGATTAACAAAGCCGTGTGTAACAAATCTTGAAGCGTAGTTGTAGTATGACGAAAAGATACAGGCTCCGAGAATGAAATATGGCTTTCAAGTGTAAGCAAGGGCACACGAGAATCAACTTCAGCTTCAAATATTCTTTCACGAGCCGACTACCAGAGTTGCACTAAAATAACTAAATGTGTCTTTTTTCTCTGATTCACGGCTTCATCTGTGCGAGTCTCGTGTCTATAATGGGACTTCGACTTTTGCACGGTATACGAGCGTCTCACACACGATTTTGCCGATTTCGCGTCATGGAAATTGTTAAACGAATTCCTAAACAACTACTGCATCAAACTCGTCTAGTTTGTTTCACTTATTTCAACAAGAAGAACTGAAGTACGCAATTCAAAAAATCATGGACGTCGATGAATAGAGCCTGTGTAATTATATCAGTTGCAAAGAAGATCAAAGACGTTTCAGTGCTTTCGCAGGAGCTTCTCAACTGAAAGAAAAAAAAAAGCAAAAAGAGGCCCTGCAGGAATAGATCTGTACTAAAGACAACCCTGCTGGTTGCGCATGAGAATGGAAATCAACCAGATCATTGCGGATTTTTATACTCGGGTGAAAAAACATTTTGAATTTAGTACACTAGAGCCATGAATTCGACGAGCGTTGCAAAAGAGTCTTTACGTTTAGCAGACCAGCAGTAAATTGTGAGTTTCGCAGACAACAGAGAATAAATCTGGCAAGCATAGAAAAGAGCAACGCCTATACAGGTAAGTCGCTCCTCCTACCGGCAAGATAAAAGAATCGCTTCTCAGTCTCCTGCAAGCATTTCGGCACCGAAACGAGTACTAGGCCTTTGACTCGATCAATAGCAAGAATACGAGCGAATTATGTCGCTGGTTTCTCTTTTTCTAGTAGCAAAATTATATGCAGTCGCATCCGTATCAACCTCAACGTGTAAACTAAGAAGAAGAACTAACTTTTGATCACCTAAGAACTCAGAGATAACAAGAAAAACAAAACTCATTTCACAGCGAACTTCCAACCCACCAGAGACCACACCACAAAACCATTCTCGCGGCTCCCTAATTCATCCCCGTCCCAGCAGCCCCTCCGTGTCCGCCGGCAAGCCCTCCCTGCTGTTTCCGGTTGGCGCTTGTCCGACCGGAGGACTATGCAGCCCTTGTTGGTGAGCAAGTGGCGCTAGCAACCTTGAAGACGCTGCTGAAGCGAGTGGCGTTGTGGATGAAGAGCTCTTTGCGCCGGTGGGCTCGGCACCACTTGGAGTTGCACAAGTAGGGCTTCTGTTCTTTGTACTGCTCGGGGCTGTTGTAGCTGCGGCATGAGCAGGAGTGGCCCGCGCTACTGTTCTGATTTCTGGTGGCGTAGCTAGACCAAGCGCATCCCCACCTCGGACATCATCGCTGGCGCCTTGTTTCGATTTATTGTCTTTGTCGTTTACTTGTGCGTTCGTACTTGTTGCACCCTCGTCACCCCCGTGAACGGCAGATGGTGAACCACTTGACACAGGCAGGAGAACGACGGTGCCTCCTGATGTAGTCGGAGCCGCCGGAGCTCCTCTTGTTTTATTTCCTCTGGACGCCGTGCCAGCTGTTGTCCTCCTCGTCCCGGCTGCTAAAACCGTCAGTGGTTGCAGGATCCGGCGGCCCACCCGAGTCCAGGCACTGCCGGTCGCGCTCCGCCGGGTCGTTATCAAGGGAGGAGAAGAAGAGGAAGAATTATCTCCAGCGCTTTTGCTTCCCGTGCACGACGAGGAGCTGCCTTTGCTGTGTTGTCTATCCCCAGGAAATTCAGCTTCGTTGGACAGTGCTGTGACCGTCACTGGTGTCGTCGTAGTGTCCCCAGCACAGGAGGAGTTGTAGTGCCGGCGCTGTGGATCACGATCAGAAAAAGACGCAGGAGAAGTGATTCTGTAGTTGTTGTCATTGCTGCCCCGCCCCGGCGGACCATTGATTCGCTGGAGGTGTCCTAGTTGTTCTTGTTTCTCTCCATCTCCTAGTCCTAGAAATTTTCCTTTACAATTACACAATATGCTGCTTGCACCACCACAACTGCCGGCCGCGTCGCTGGCACTGCAGCTACTTGGTAGAAGTATTGCGGTGCGGTTTCTGCAAGCCACGACCGCACTCGGCGATGCTGTCCGGCGCTCGTTTCCGCCGTAGTGATTGCTCTTGCAGCTACGAAGAACATCGTCAGCGAGCTCCTTTTCAAACTCGTTTAACAGCGCAGCCTCCCGCATAGCTCGCGACGGCTTCTGTGGCTGATCGATGTTGGTCCCCCGCCGGTCCGCAGTGTTGTCTATGGGACTACACAAAAGCACGATCCAATGGCTACTTCAGTGATTTTTGCAAGACGACCTGTCTTGTTTTCAGAATCAAAAATGCAATTTGTCAAGCGGATTAAAAATAAAGTAGCAGTACACATGATCTGTGGTCCCCAACCCCATGCATGAGCATGATGGCAAAATAAATTCGCACGAAAAAAATACTTTTGTGCCGTGTCATATCGTCGGAAGCACCGCGAGTCCAGGGCATTTCCATGGCCAAGCCGGAGCTTGTCGTCCTCAGGCTGTCGTTGCTTTTTTCTAGCAGGTCAAGTTGCACTTCGCGGTTCAGGATGGAGGTAGTTCTTTGCACGTCGGGTGTTGTTCGAGTAGTGATCAGCCCGAAGTTTTTGTTTCCTACAGAACAACCGGTAGAAACTGCACAACCCTGAAGGATGTCCTCATCCTCTTTATGGTGGTGTGCTGGTGGTACAACTATGTGTGGCAACAGACGTTCTTTGTTCATCACCTTGTTTCTTCCCTGCACCAGGATCTTGCTAGTAGTGTGGCTTTGCCGTAGTTGACCAGAAGCTCCTGCTGCTGAAGACGGCGATGCGTACGTGGGTAAGGGTACTGCGCTGGTCTTCTCTTTTTTCTCGCCGTTGAACTCTCCGTCCTGATCACTGCCAAGTTTGGCCAAGAGCATGTTCGCAAGCAAATCGCCCGGGCTGGTGCTACTCCGAGTGGTTGTACCCCGCGCAAAGAGTAGCTCTCCCTTGTCTATTTTCGTCCCGTCGGCAACTGTTGCCGAGGCCGCTGGAGCCGCTGCAGCAGTTTTTTCTTCTCCGCCCCACTGCTCTGTAGCAGTGCCGCTCAATGGCTTCCAAAGAATTTCCGAGCGGTCTTTGCTCGCACTGCGGCGCGTGTTCAAAAACTCGGCCGCCGTCAATGTTTCCCTGCCTTTCGGCGAAGGTGGCTCTGCTTCATGTGGTCCTTGTTGTCCTCCTGTCGCGGCCAAAACAGCAGTTCCACGGGCTTCAGCAAGCGCAACGCACAGGGTCGTTGCACCGCGGAGGTCGAGTCCCGTCTCCACTTTTGTTGACGATGGCGACGACGGATCGCCTTCGCTTGACCAATTTATTTTCGTAGAGCAAAAATCCCCCTCCCCCTCGGAAGTAGTAGATCCAGACTGCAGTCGGGACGATCGACTGCTTTTCCGACTGTCGTCGGTTGGTCGGCTCACAGTGTGGACGGCGCTGCTCGTCCCTCTTTCGCTGTCTGAGAAAACGGCGAGGAAGTCGTCTTCAACCCGCTCTGTTTCATCTTCTGGGAGCACTTGCATCTGCAAAATAGCGGGAGCCCGAAGACTGGGACTTGCTGGGTTCTTTGCGTCTGAGGCAGAACTACAGCCGGGGCTGCAGCTCAGTGCCTCGACGGCCCCTGATGAAGATCCATACGTACTAAAACCGGGGCTGTTGAACTGCAGGAGTAGTTTGTTGTTGTGCAACCCCTGCAGGCTTTCGACGCCGCGCTGCTGCCGTGAATTTTGTATAAGTTGCGAAACAGTATCCGATACTTGTAGTAAAATAATTGCAACACAAATTATAGCTCAGGATGACACATGGAGTTAATATTTACATTGCTTGACTTCCGGGTTCTGGTAACGCATACCCCTGGCGACAGGTGACCTTGACAGGCGACCTCGACAGGTGGCCGCGACAGGTGACCTCGACAGGTGACCTCGACAGGTGACCTTGACAGGTGACCGCGACGGGTGAACGCCCTGCCTTCCCCCACTAGTGACTCGCGCACTAAGCCACTATGCGCGCGCCTGGTGTGAGGCGAGGGGCGGACGCTGTCCGCCCCGATGCCGAACACCCTTCCCCCACTAGTGCTTCGCGCACTGAGCCACCATGCGCGCGCCTGGTGTGAGGCGAGGGGCGGACGCTGTCCGCCCCGATGCCGAACACCCTTCCCCCACTAGCGCCACTAGGGACGGGCACAAGGCCCCAGCGTGGGGACCCTGTCCCCACGCTCGGGTGGGCCTTGTTTGTCATGCTGCGTTATCTAGAAAAGGAGATTTGTCTACTTGCAAATGACTGCGATGATGAGTACGAGTACCGGATTTACTTCTACACTGGATAGTACTACTTTGCGGCCCGACTTGAACCGACACGACTCCCGCTTCGGCCCTGACCGAACTAGGGGTGATTGGATCCTCCCCAGAAGTGCTCATAGACGAACCCGGGGAAGACCCTGATCTACTTCCGGAAGACGACAGCGTAGAGGGTTTGTCGGCTGAGGACGTTGAAGATGAAAGGCGCGAGGTACTACAACTAGAGCTTGACGTGGCTTCCAGCTCGGCAAGGCTACTGCTTGAAGCCGCCGCAGCGTGGGCCGCGGAGTTCTTGCATCCTGTACCAGCGCCCTGAAAAGCATCTCTACAATTGCAGCACAAGCGTTCTGCATCACCTTCTACACAAGCTGAATCACGAGGAGCAGCTCTACTTGTACTTCCATCACCCCCGGAACCAGGCCATTTGTCGGCAGTTTGATCTTCGCCGCTGTTGTTTTCATACCACGGCTCGCCTTCCGCCACACTGTCCATCGCCCGACTGGCGGAGGAGGACTTTGACACCAGGCGAAAGTTTGCTGCCGTACTAAGAGCCTCCGACTTCACGGATGGTGAGCATCCTCCAGGACTGGTTGCGTCCGCGCAACTACCGCGGCTCGTGGCCGTCGTCGCGAGGCTTAACGTTGACATCATTTGCAGTGCCGCGGCTGTTGTACAACTCGAGGCGTCGTCAGAAACATCATGTTCTGCCTCTACACGACGACCCTTGTATAGTCGCCGGTCGGGCATGAGAACCGACAAGGGGGAAGATGCTGCCTCAGGTCGCGCCGCGGACGAGGAGGTTTCGCTCTTGATGTTGGCACCTCCACCAGCTTGAAAATTACCTCTTCCGAAAGGACTCAGCACACCGTCGTCCAGATGATGGTCAACATCTTGGTAGTTGTTCTTGCCAGCTGCACAACTAGCTTCCTCTTTATTGTGCAGGAGGTCGTGCTGCGACAAAAATCCAGCAACCGCTCTGTTTGATGTTGTAACAGAACTAGACGTGGTCGGGCTTGTTGGCTGCGGTGGTTGCATATCTTCACAATCACCAGTTCTTGGTGCTGCATCACATTCGACGTCCCGGTTGTAGTGCAATGTCAACTCCAGTTGATGTTCGCGGGCCAACATCTTCGTGGCGGTCACGCCGGCCGTACTTGCGCTATCCAAACTTCTTCTGGCAGGCGTTCGATAGTGCGTCGTAAGAACAGGCGAATTCCCAGACGCGGGCGCTGGAGAGGAAGCATCCCCCGATACTAGTACCGGAGATGGTGCCTTTCCTGGCTGCGAGCTTTGTTGACCATTATCCGTGACAAGGAGATGCTGCTCAGCGAATGCACTCATCCTGTCGGTGTTGAAGTTCAATGCATTCGAAGCTGGATTGTACCGATTTAGCTGTTGGTCCTCGGGTTCTAAAGCTGGTGCTGGTGCGTCGCAATTTTTGCTCGAAAAAAAACTCGTGGGCGAGCAGGAACCACCGGACGTGGGGGAAGCGGATGCGGAGTCTGTATCTGCTGGACCCGCTACTGTATTGTAGTAAGGGCTGTGGGACTCCGCCGGCCGGTTCTCATCATCATTATTTCCGACTTATCCAATGCAAAAGCATCGTACTCGTATAAATGCATTACAAATTTTCCCAGCATGAGAAATAAAATTTGTAATGCGGTTTTACCTTAAGAAAAATATTTGTAGTGCAAGACTTGCATTTATACGAGTACGATACTTTTGCACAGGATACGACTACAGCAGCTGCAACTTCTATACCGCCTGGTAAGCGGTTACGATTTCCCGTTGGTCTTTTTATGTTCGCGCTCCCACCAGCACCATGCGGATCATGTCTCCTGCTTCTACCTAGCGAGGACCGGGAATTTGGAATTTGCACCTGCAGCATGGGGTTCGCGAGGCGGCGTCGCGCGGCGATCATGGTAGTTTGGTTTGTTGATTCTGTTCTAATGCTAATGCGGGACGACGTGCAGTTGTCTTGGTTTTCGTTTTCATCTCCTAGACGACCCTCGTCACGATCAATGCATCTAGTTGATTTCCTTGGGTGCGGGCGGTCGCAAAGGGCTGCAGCGAGAGAACTACACGCGGCGGCGTTATCATTCGCCCGGTTCGTAGTGCCGAACATCGTTCCAAAACTCTGGTACAGTCCCCGGCTCCCCCCTTCCTGCGCCACGAAAGGCGCCTCCTTGTCGTCGTCATTCTGCGCTAGAAATTCCACACGCTCGTTTATCCTGCGTAAAAACGTCCCCACCCCATAGTCAAGATGGGGATCTCGCAACACAAATCGAGCAGCTTTGGGAATCAAGCATGACAAGTTCCTCTCTGTAGTGTCGTGCGGTTTAGCAAGTACAGCCGCAAGACAAATCCATCTACTCATCCTGCTTACAGCATCACAAAGTCCAAAACACGATTGGAAATGGCTCTCATGGGGTTGCGCATTACAAATCTTCCTGTAGCTGCAAATCTGCATGACAACTATGGGGTGGGGACGTTTTTCCTCAGGATATTGTTCCCAACGCCATCATCTCTATCTGCCCGTACTGTGACCGGATCATCCGCATCCGGTCTTGCTGCTCTACCGACGTAGTTCTGCTCTTTGGTAAAACCACGGGAAAGACCGTCTTGCAGAAAGACTTCACGGAAGATTACCTCCGCACGAGAATCTGCTTCACTGGAGGAAACCGGCACTGCAGAGTAGTATGTTGTACTACTTGCTGCCCCTGTAGGCGATGCGGGTGGCGCGGTGGATGCTGACCGTGCTAAGAAATCATGGTCGGACTTCGGTGTGGTCCGCGTGTCAGGCTGGTTGTCTTCTCCATGTCCATTGCGTTGTGCGCTGGAGGTAAATAAATCCAAATCTTCTCCCGGCCGCGCAGGAAAATCGTGGCGCGCCAGTTCTTCTCGCAGTGATGTCATTGCTTTACTTTCACTACTAGTAGAACGCGGCACTTTTTCATGGACAAGAACAGGCGGCACTACTGCTGCTGCTGCTCCTGCGCCACTTCTCGTGCTGCTACTGCCGCTAACCAAATTCCTCCCGCCACGAGCACGACCCGGGCCGTTTCTTGGAAAAAGCCCAGCTGGCTTTGGGTTGGCCGGCGATTGGATTCTAGTACCTATTTCAGCTGCCGACCAGGAGGCGGCTGCAGTAGAGAAAGGTAGAAACTGAAGGAAAAATACGCATCGCATCGACGTCCTCTTCGCTTCTAAGATAGCCCGCCAGCACCTCTGGACGTGGCGACCATCTATTGCGGCCATTGCAACAGAAGGAGTGCAACCCAAGCAGGAATATACTCTCTCTGGCCGCGTTGTATTGCGACAGGTGCGAGACGACGGTAGCCAATAGGCCAATGTTGACTACTTAGTCGGCTGTCGAAAGTGTTCCCGCTTTAGTTGAGGATGTGAAGTTCGTGATTCGAAAGCGAAGTCCGGAAATTTGTACTTCATAACAGGAAAAAAAACGAAAACTCAGTTGTCAAGAGCTGCATTTTGAAGCTCGTCTTTCTCCGAACACGAGGTACAAAAGCCGCCAGCAGACGTGAAGTGATGGCTATGGAAATCATGTTCTAAATACCACTTGTGAACGAATTGATTTTAATTCGCATGCTATGTGAAACTACGTTTTGAATACGTGTGGTTCATCTGCTCTGTGAATTCTAGAGCCCACAGCTCCGGTCCTACCGACGAGATGATGCAGCTTCGGTAACAGGGAGCACTTGAATCTGCACCCGGAAAAAGAAGTGCAAAAATGTAGTAGAAAAAACTTCTTTATGTCGCTTTTCGTTTTGCAAACAGCAGTCGGCTTTTCCATTTTGCAGACACTAATACCATAGTTTTCACCGCCGAAAACGGACGAATGTTGATATCAATATTGACCAAAACGGTTCTAAAAATGATATAAACAAATTAATTCTGCAAAATTTTTTGATTTTTTCTTGAAAACATCCAGGCATCAAAGATGTACAAAACGAAGTAGATGAACAGAGACCGGGCCTAACGCCAAGTGTGGTCATATATTTGTTTTGTAGGGCTTCCTGCAAAGTACTCACAGGAGCTAAGAAGCCAAGTTTTAGATATGATTCATTTCCTCCACATGAGAATAGACTAGTAATACCCGCCGAACGCAATTAAGGTCCCCGCGAGGTGGACGACTACCCTACTAGATTTTCACGCCTTTGTATCGCACAGAAAAAGCTCTTTCACTGTGACAACGTTAGAGCAGATCGCGCGGTGATCCCAACTTGAACTTTCGATCGATACAAAGAATTTCTATCTGGTCTCTGTAGCTGCTTTGGAGGGGCAAAAGCAAAATAACCGTTTCCTAAAAATTCGAAAGCAGTAGCCACAGAGACAAATTTTCTTGTTGTGATACAACTATACTCTCCTGCGTGCTAGAATTTCAAAGTGAAACAGTTTTTTTCTGTGCGATAGCCCAACCATCGTGCCCGCTCCAAGGGCGGTTCCGGTCCTGCGGTGCGCGTGTTCTTATGACATGCAAATATGTCTGGGTCTGGAAACTTGTAATGCTGAGTTGTGAATAGTGAGTGCTCTGTAATGCACAGCCAAGCACGATAAATATTTGCGCGGCTACTTAGTGTTGCGCTTTCCGCATGACAAACTGCGTTTTGCGTGACAAGTAAAAGGGTCTCTTCTTGGACACGCATGACAAACTCTTCAGTCATGCCAGACAAGCATGACAAACTTGCCAATGCGATATCCCAACCATCGTGCCCGGTCCAAGGGCGGTTCTGGTCCTGCGGTGCGTGATCTCCGAGTGCTCGTCTGCTCCTCCGCCTGTGTTGCTATGAATTGCAAAAGTATCCTATCGCACTCGTATAAATGCATTACAAATTTCGTCAGCATGAGAAATAAAACTTGTAATGCGGATTTATCTCAACAAAAGGATTTGTAATGCATGACTGCAATACGAGTACGATACTTTTGCACAGGATAGTTGCTGCACGAGGACCATTGCTAGCACCATGCTGATCCAAGGGCGGTTCTGGTCCTGCGGTGCGTGATCTCCGAGTGCTTGTCTGCTCCTGCGCCGGTGTTGCTGCACGAGGATCATTGCTACCACCTCCACGCGGGGACGATGCTCTTGCCACAGTGCGCGAGGACTGCGACGGCGGCTCGGGGCCCGGAGTTCTCCGAGACGAGTGTCTGTTGATTTTTTCCGCATGAAAAGTTGTGCCGTGCGGGGAAATTGTAGCCGGATGGTGTGACGAAGAAGAAGTAGTTGCGGGCATAACTACACCGTCAAACCCATACCGATCTGGCGCCTCTTGTTGCTCGCGATGATTTGGGATTCCAGATCGAAAAGCGGCAGAAACAGAAGGCGCCATGTTCATCCAGGCCCTAGCGGTACTATCACCGGGCTGCAGCTGCTGCTCCGCTGTTGTACTACTAGTACCGTGCTGGCCACCCTGCTGCTGCACATCTGTAGTGGTTGTCAGTGCTGCAGCAGTCGCTTGCTCGCTGACAGTTGTGGTGCGGCGCTGGCAGAAGCTCCGGATGGGATTGGTGCGGCGAAGCGGATTGATGCCTGACGGATTGTTTGTCCTCGACGAAGATGTTTATCAAACGCGAATATATCTGACTGTGGAAGCTTGTGATGCTGATTGGTCATTATTGAACCGCCTTGGCCTTCCTCGTGCAGCCAGGCATTACAAATATTTTGGGCGCTTTTGCATGAGCTTGCGTAGCGCGCATTACAAACTGTGTTCTTACACAACACACACGGTCCTCGCGCTTCTATTCGTCATGCTCATGCAACACAGATTTTGTAAGAATTATCCAAGACATGAAATACAAGTTCAACACTTTTTCAGACCCAGAAATCTTTGCATTTGATAGTGGTGTGTTGACAGCGGAGGTTGAAGATGATGCCACTGCAGATGTAGATGCTGACGCTCCTGCAGAACAACAAGTGGGTAGCAAACCGCTTCGCAAGGTCCCCGTTGGAACTGGTACCGCACTGGTGATTCGTAGCAAGGCATTGCCCGTCGGATGTGACATTGTAGGTGCTTGTCTTCTCGTCGGTGCCAGCATGACTAGTGGATGTAATGCAGTTCGGCCACTCGCAGGACGTTGCGGTGTCGGGATTGAGGACGGGGGGAGGCGAGCAGAAGCGGGGGCTGCATTTGCATTATTTGCGGGGGCCGAACTAGAACTCCCGTTGCTGTTCATCCTTGGGTGTGCTGGTGTTTTGGAAGAGGTCGACCACGTGTTGCAACCGCTGGAAGTAGATGTTGGTGCTGCTCCACCTCCTCCTGGTCTTTCGAGTCTCCCGTCACCTCGTCCTGCAAGCGTCGTTTGCAACGGCGCTGCTTCCTGTTCCGCCCGGGAAATAAAGTTGCTTCCCCGCTGGTCTCTAAAAGGCGCTGCCCTGGCGTGCGTTTGGTTGGACCACCCACGCACCCACGGAAATTCCTGGTCAAGGTAGTCATCCAAGTCGTCAAAGTGTGGGAGTGTGTATGCATTGCATTTGCAAAAGCGTTCTTGTACAACTTCTACAGCAATTAAATGCACAACTTGCATCATAATTTTTTTCAGAATTGGAATATGGATTTTGTGATGCAGATTCCGGTAAGAAAAAACCATCTGTCATGCACGATTGCAATGTGCGAGTTGTACACAACTATTTTGCATAGGATAGTGTCTCGTCGCTTTTCGACTGCATCGCCACTTCAAACCGACGCTGGCGCTCTTTCCAAGGCAGACTATCGCAAGAAAAAACTGCTTCACTGTGACCTTGTGATGCAGAAAATGGATCACAGAGGTGTGTGTCATGCTACACATGCAAGACAATGGATTTCTAGCTGTGTTTTCCCTTAGGGACCCCGCATGACAGATTTTCAGTGTCATGCGTAACAAACTTGTGATGCAGATTTTGCACAACCACCACAGTGAAACAGTTCTTTCGTGGGATACAAACGGTCCGGCAAATAATCCTCGTACCAAGGGAGAGTCGGCTCTTCACGCGGGTTACTGTTGCTAGTATCGCCGGAGGAGGAGCTGCTGGTGGTTCCAGATGATCCTGATTCATATGAAGCTGGCTGCACGAAAGAAGTTGACGTGTCCGTACTAGTTGCTTGTCTTGAACTACCGACGAGTTCTTGAGCGCTTTGTTCCTCGTCCTTTTCACTTGTGCTTTTCTCTGGTGGAAGTACATGCGCAGTTCTGGGAACAAGAGGTCTCGGGTCTGGGCCCGGCGGTGGAAATTGCGAACAAACTGCAAGAACAGTGGTGCTAGCAACACGACTGCACGGAGGTGGACTAGGGCTGGCAGAGCTAGTACCGCTGCTTGCTGTACTTCTAAATTTCGACAAAACACGTATACTTCTTGGAAATGCGTGAGGGCTGCGGCCTGATTCTACTCCCCGTTGTGATTCTTGTAGTACTGCCACCAGCTCTGACTCATCCACGCTGGCAGCGCGACTGCTTCCTGCCGAAGACGGCGAGGTTGTTGCCAAGAAGCTGCTTTTGCCTGGTGTCGTCCAACTACACGAAAGAAGAGCTATTGAGAAGATGTAGATCCGCGAGAATGTAGCGGATGTGGACCACGTTGAGGGCGCCGGATAGAACGTAGCCGGAACTACACCAGGGTGCCGACGTGAGCTCGCCATTTCTTTGAGAATGGCCGTCGTGCTGTCACCCCGTATTTGACTGGACGGGAAAGCGAAAGCGTATGGTGCGCGGAAGTTGGGCTAAAAAACGGAACGCAGGCGAGCCGCGGAAAGCAAAACCATTTACGGCTTCTGTCTGGGCCGGATGATCATTCGCAGTAGTACATGTGCCATAGCAATACTGCGTCTGAGGAATAGGCCATGTGGTTCAGATGGAGCCTAGAGTAGAAGAACATAAAGAGCACACCAGTATATTCATAAACATATTTCTGGCCCTGGCGGCGGCAAGACCGCGAAGACGTTGAGATGCGAGAGTTTTGAACGCAGACTTCAGCAGCCTCGCCACCACGCTTTCCATGGGAGATGAGCGGATGTAAATCTAAACCCACAACTGCGCCAAGTGCCACATTTAGCCTCTATAATCTGGAGACAACACAAAGCGAAAGATCGCCCCGCGTCGCTTTTGTCAGGCGAACTGCCCGCATGCAGATGCGAGCGCCGCCCAGGAAAGCGAAACGGCCACTCGGCCAGTGCGACGTCGCATGTGCTGGGGCCCACCACTAGCACAGACGCAGACGCGCCACAAAGACATTTTGGGCCAACCCCGCCGCCGCCGGCTTCGTTTCTTTCTTTGGAGGCCGGAAAGGCAGGGCGGGCCGGGGCAAACGCGGCAGGCACGCCCCCCCCTGGGGCGACGGGGCGGGCGCTAGGTAGCTGCGCGCCCCGGCGGCGGACATGGTGCGCCCGGCCGGCCCTAAGGGCGGGCAATGGCGGAAAACCAACCCCCGCCCGGCGTCACACGGACGGGCGGGGGCCACACACAGACACCACCAGCCGGCGCGGCGCCGAAAACCGGCGGGCCGCCTGCGCGCCCGCGAGCCAACGCGCCGCGCGAGGGTGTTACGCCGAACCCGCACCGCCGCCCTTTTGCCCCCCGTCGTTTGCCGGCAATGCGCTCGGCTTTTTCTTCGTAGTGCCTGCCGCGCCCCTGCGCTCCGCGTCATACTCTCGCTCTTCGGCCGGGCAGGGTCCCCCGCCTTCTGCCATATTGCCTCCAGCTCCGCCGCGCCGCCGTCTCCGACCGCCACACCGGGTGCCCGGTCTAGAAATAGGCGGAAACACCCGCACAGACTTGGAAAGGGAGGGCGCTGGAATGAAGGGCATAAACGTCACAGCCGGCAAGCGGCACGACCCGAGGCCGGCGCCAGCGCCGGGCGGCGTGCGCGCACACTACAAACCCCGGCCCCTTTGCGTATCCTTCGAAGAAGTTGGTCGGGAGAAATGCTCGAGGCGCCCAACATGAAGATAGTGACGCCCGTACCAAGCCGGGGCCGGGGGCGGGCACGTGGCGGCGCGCCGGTGTGACGCGGGCGGATTGGAAACGGCGGGGGCCTGCGGGCCGTCGCCTCCTTCCGCCGTTGGCTAGGCCGCGCCCCCCTGCCGGCGGGCCCTTCTTCGCATCGGCCAAACCATGCGCCCCCAGATCGGGCAATACATGGCCCAGCTCCACTCTGGCCCAGCTCCACGCCGGTCCGGCTCTGCCCTGGCCCAACTCCTTGCGCGCGCCCCCGTAAGCGGCCGCTCATCAGTACCAGCGTGACTCCTTGCGGCGCTTCGGCTCCGGGTCTTCCCCCGCCGTTGGAGAAGAGCGGCCCCCGCCTTTGGCTCCGTCTCCCGATAGGTAGCGACCGCCCGCGGGGCGTCGTTCCCTGAGAATCCACAAGCAGGGCCCTGAGCATGGCTCTCCCAAGGGCCAGACGCTGCTGCTGGTGCGGCGTTGAATATCGTTCGGAGCGTTTTTCAACACGCACCGCCTCCCGAGAAGTTCAAAAAGCTTCCAGGAACACGACAAGTGCATCGCTTTATTGCCTCCGCGAGGTACGCATGAAACAGGTGCGTCCGGCCTCTACGGCGATGGACGTGTCGTTGCATGAGCAACGCACTCACTCAGATAATTGTTCAATTTGAAAACTCTTCGTCTTCCTAGCTGTCGAAGCAAATGCTTGCCTACTTCTTGCTTTTCGAAATCGAAACGCGACCTACACTGGTACAGCATAATTTGATCAAAATTTTTTTCGATTCGGTAACTCAACTGCATGGTCTTTGTTTTTTCGATTTTTTCATCTCAGCCTTGGGCCCTGTTTCCACATCTGGTAGATTTTTTCGCCCAAAATTCCGACCGTGCATTTTCTGCAATGTACGATAAATGAGAAACATAGGAAGAAGGTCAATTAATTGAAAAGCCATGCAATAGAAGTATGGCAGAGTCGCGCATATTACATGCAAATTATACGCCTGCTCTATCTCACCGGCTTGCCATGTTTATTGCCATTCTTTTAAACTACATTTCATCTCGCGCAGCCAACGCTAGCTCCTAAAGCGTTTACGTATAGAACGGTTTTAGAAATCGACCCTTGTAATTTCTCTTCAGGAACTAAAAATCTCACTACTAAAGGATTAACTTTAACCACTGTCACTGAGCCTCCCTCACTGTACTAGTTCTGGTGACCACGTAATCGCAGTGTAGCATCAAGAGTCAACATCGGAATTCTTGGAATATAAATCAAAAGTCGAAAATAAAATTTTGCTGTGCAAACAGAAGAACCAAAGATGACATGCAGCAGGAATACGCCTCGAATACATCCTTATGCGAACCGGCTTTCATCTGTTGGAACCAATTCTCGTCAAAATCAAAAATGAAGACAGCTGTAAAAGTAAAAAATATTCTATGTTTTACGTTTCCACAAGCAACAGGCACGGATGCCTACATCTTACCAATCTTTTCAATAATTTTGCGAACGACAAAAAATCAAAGTTTGTGTTTATAATACATTTTTTGATTCATTTTTAAATTTATTCCTTCTCGCTGACGAAATCGTTGTTCTATACAACTTCGCCCTGGACTAATCGTTCAGAACTTTAATCGCAGGAATAATATATTCACTCAAAAGTAAACTGCACACCGAGTCGTCTCACGAGTGTGTGTGTGTCATTGGCACGCGAGGCCCCCAAATGCTAGAAGCAAAAAATGACAGGTGCAAAAAAATTATCTTTGTGAACATAAACAAAGCCGATCGAAACGGAAACAACTCCGGCTCAAATTGATCAAGACAAGCTCCTATAATTATTTGCAAAAACAAAAACAAAATTAATTATGCATCGTATACTATAGTTACATTTTGGTACTATCAAATTCCATCCATCATCACGCACCCAACCATGGATCACCGCTACTTTCCCCCGAAAACCCCAGCCGCGGCGTCTGCGCCGCTTTCGCCATAGGCCGCGGACTAGCGGTGCGAATGTTCGACGGCGCCAGACGGTTCACAAAGCTCCTCGCCCGGTTTTTCGTAGATGTTGTTGAAACACCAGCGGCAATGTTAATATGGTTTAACACTCTGGGGCTACTGCTTGTCGAGGTCGTAGTTTCTTGTGCCGTGATTGGCAGAATTTTTCGTGTGAGCAGACGCTTGCTGTTGCCACACTGTGGATTGTCTGTTGTTGGAAATGGGTTGTTCGTAGTTGTGTCGCGTGGGTCGATCATGCCACCAGCATCTCTGCCAAGAAGATTTTTAAAACCACCATCCGTATTGGTTCGTTGTGAAGAAGAAGAACTTGAACTTGGCATAAAAGCCCGACGAGATTGTTCCTCGTGATTGAGATTCGGTTGCTGTTGTTGAAGCGGCGACCCTGCAGTGGACGAAGCTGCAGAAGTGGACAAAATTGCAGTAGTACTAGTAGGTCGTGGTTGATTTTTTAGCATTTCCCTTCCGCCAGCCTCACCAACGCTTGTTCCTCTCGACAAAATTGCAGTAGTACTATCTAGCACGGGCGGTCGCTCCGCGACCGCCGGAGAGGTATGGAGTAGACAAGGAAACGATGGGCCCGATTTCCTAGTAGGAAGGTTGCAGTCCTCGCGGGGAAGGGGAGGGGATTCTCCTGGGGGCGAAAACTCTGCAGGCGCAGGGCTTTTGAGTGCGCCGGAGCCCCCTGGAGGAAGACAAAGGCGTGACAGCGGCCCGCCCCAGGCCCCTGGAGAAGGAGAAGCACCGGGAAACCGAAAGAACACCCGGGGCGAGCCCACCCTGGGAGGGGACGAGCCTTCCGGGATGTTCCCAATTTGCGAGCACCCCCCCAAGTTGCGAGCCTTACGGGCGGCTGCTCGTCATTCTAGAGCTACGCCCCGCTGTATTTCTAGTTACGCCCCCAAGGCGGTGGGGCTGCTTTCGACGGAGCCCACAGGGCCGCAGCTGCGGAAAAGCTGCGCGACAAAAAACCTGGCCAGCCAGACAGGTGCAACCAGCCCAGGGGGACTAGGCGCACTGTGTGTGATGGCCATTCCTTCGGGGCAGCGAGAAAAGGCGCCGCTTTCTTTGCGCAGGGCGGCGGGGGCATCCACACGAGGAGGGGCCTCCGCCGCGAGGCAAAACGGGGTAGCCCAAACAAAGCGCAAAGCCATCCCGGGCACCGTGGCCGGGCCGGAGCTGCTAGTTCGCCTGCACCTGCGGGCGCAGCAGCACGCGCCGCGCCACCCTCGGTCAGATAAAGAAGCGCTCGCCCTCCCACGGCTGCACCCCCTTTTCCCGGGAACGAGCGCCACGTCCCGCGCGACCACACAGGTACTAATTGCTCGGCGCTAGTTTCTCCACAGGGGGCAAGGGAAGCCAGCAGCGCGGGCGAGCTTTGTGGCGCAAGCCCGGGGCGAACCACCCCGCGCGGCAGTTTTCTTTTTCTTTTTCTACTAGTAAGCTTTCTCCTAGTAAACTCTCTACTAGTACGCTTGCTAGTAGTTTTTTTGCTTGCTTGTCACGATAAGATTACTAGCAGCGCAGCCTACTAGTAAAATTCTTGGATTTTCCTTACTAGTAAGATTTTACTAGTAGAAATCGGGCCATGCGTCAATCGATTTTCTTGCCGTATAGTATATAGGGTATTGTAGGTCGTGGTTGATTTTTTAGCATTTCCCTTCCGCCAGCCTCACCAACGCTCGTTCCTCTCGCCGTCTTTGCAAAAACAAAAACAAAATTTAAATTAATTATGCATCGTATACTATAGTTACATTTTGGTAATATAAAAGTAAAACTCCATCCATCATCACGCACCCAACCACGGATCACCGCCACTTTCCCCGGAAAAACCCAACCGCGGTGTCTGCGCCGCTTTCGCCATAGGCCGTGGACTATGAAATGCAAAAATGTCTGGGTCTGGAAACTTGTGATGCTAAAATGTGCATGATGAAAACACTTCCGAATGCAGTCCGGCATGACAACTTCCCACAATTCTTTCTCGTAGGCAATCCGCATGAGAAACTGCGTTTTTGCATGACAAAAGAGGCTGCGACTTTTGTTGGTAAATATGCAATACAGATTTTCTAGGTATGGAAAGCTAGCATTACAAGTTCCAACCTTCCAGACCCAGACATTTTTACAATCCATATGGACTGGCGGTGCGAATGTTCGACGGCCCCAGACGGTTCACAAAGCTTATGGGGCTCTCAAACGTTACATTCTCAACTGTTACATGATTTGTCATGCAAAAACACTATCACTATTCACACGACCAAGCCTGCCTTGCATGACAACTTCTCGACGCGCTACATAGCACTATAATCCGTCCCAAATCTGTAATGCAAAAGGCGCAATCTTCCTCCTGTACTTTTGCCACTCTTGCATTACAAATTCATGTAACAGTTGATAATGTAACGCTTGAGAACGCCATAAAGCTTCTCGCCCGGTTTTTCGTAGATGTTGTTGAAACACCACCAGCAATGTTAATATGGTTTAACACTCTGGGGCTACTGCTTGTCGAGGTAGTTTCCGGTGTTCTCGTGATTGGCAGAATTCGTGTGAGCAGACGCTTGCTGTTTCCAGGCTGTGGACTGTCTGTTGTTGGAAATGGGTTGTTAGTCGTTGCGCCACGTGCGTCGATCATGCCACCATGATCTCTGCCAATAATATTTCTGAAACCATCATCCGTATTGGTTCGCTGTGAAGAAGAACCACTTGAAGAACTTGGCATAAAAGCCCGATTTTGTTCCTCGGAATTGAGATGGTGCAGGTGATTCGGTTGCTGTTGTTGAAGCGGCGAGCTTGCACTGGACGAAGCTGCAGAAGTGGACGAAATTTTTGCAGTACCAGGTGTAGTTCGTGGCTGATTTTTTGGTATTTCCCTTCCGCCAGCCTCACCAACGCTTGTTCCTCTCGCCGTCATAATCGCCAGCGGCTGCAAAACCCGTTTCCCGACCCGCGCCCAGGTGCTAGAAGTAGCCGACCGGGTTGGTGTGTTTTGCGACGCGGCGCTGTCTTTGCTTGTTCCCTGTCTTGTCGTACTACCAGAGGCCGCGTCGGTCGTGTTAGGAGTGATGTTGCGGACGAGAGCCGTCATTTGCGCAGGAGTCTTCCAGGGTTGTAACAAGCTACTAGTGGGGGCTGATGTAACCACGGAGCTTCCAATTGCATTACTAGCACCATTTCCTGACGAGCCGGAAGCTGCACCGTCCGAAGCTGCACCGTTTCCGTTCCTGCAGGACGTGACCGCGGCAAACCCAGAGCCGGCCACGACCGCACCAGTTGAGCAAGATGAGCCTGTTTGTAGTTGCCTGGTAGTTGAATTTGAAAACTGTATTTCCTTTTCAAACTCCAGCATCAGCGCCACTTCGCGTTCCGCCCGCGACGGCCTCGCGGGATCGTCCGCCGGCACTTTACGGTCGTGCGTGTCGTCTATCAAATGCAAATACGTCTGGGTCTGGAAGAATGCCAGACTTGTCATGCAGGTTTTCCATGACCCATGAGCTCTGGCATGTAGGACATAGCATGACAGATTCTACTGTGAGGGTTCTATCATGCCTATCCTGCATGAGAAAGTGCCTCTCGATTAGGTCCATAGTGGACAGCTTTTGGTAATCATGCAACACAGGTTTTATTCACGCTTCAGATTTAGCATGACAAGTTGCTTTGTTCCAGACCCAGACATTTTTGCATTGGATATCGTCCGTTGCGCCACGAATCCAGCCAAAGGTTTTTGCCAGGTCTTCGTCCGTTTTGCTCAGTGTGCTGTCATATGCATTGCAGATATGTCTGGGTCTGGAAGGTTGGAACTTGTCATGCTAAATCAGAATCATGCAAAAATCTGTGTTGCATGATTACCAAACGCTGTCCACTTTTGATCAAGATGAGAGGCAGTTTGTCATGCAGGATAGGCATGATAGTGATCTCACGGAATCTGTCATGCTAGGCACTCCATTACAGATCATATGGGTCATGAAAAACCTGCATGACAAGTCTAGCAAAGTTCCAGACCCAGACATTTTTACAGTTGATATGTCAGCGTCTTGACTATCGGAATGAAAAGACGTTGCCGCATGCTGTACTGGTATTGGTAGCTGCAGTATCGTGTGTTTCAAATTCATCTCATTGGCTGCTGCACCCAAAGTTGTAGCCAAAGGGGGCGCAGGAACGACCTCTGCACCAGCCGCGCAAGGAGGCGTAGAATCATCGGTGCTACTGCTGGTCGCGAGGCCACGACTGCAACTCGCAAGGTGTCCTTTGACCGACGGTGGAGTTGTGCTCATCTGCTGCTCCAAACCTGTGTTGTTTTGTTCTTGCGGGGTCGAATTATAAGCTGATTCGTCTTTGCTCGTCGTCGTGGTCACTACACCGAGCTGTTGCACGAGGGTCGTCGTGTTCTGCACGTTCTTACCCATAGCCGCCTTTTCGACAGGGTGAATTGAGGATGTCTGTGTTGCAGGACCACGTTCACGGGACGACGCCGAAGATGCAGGTTGAAAGGGCGATGCTGACGTGAAAAACGCAGTGCCACTGGTGCTCGATGATGGGCCACCATAATTTCTCACACTCGCAGTAGAGATCCCACCCGTAGTTCCAGCTGCAACGGGCATTGCTGAAGACGATGATGGCGAAGAAGACTCCGGAACACGAACCGTTCGCAGATTGTAATTGATTTCCAAAAGTTTGGTTGCTTCCGCTAAAGCTGCAATTGACTGCTCCTCCTCATTATTTGCGTCATCATCTTCGCCAACATTCGCAAGACCTTTCACCTCCGCTGCACCAGCACGATGCGCAATAACAGTACTAGCTTGGTCCGAAAGTTTGCTGCTTTTTCCAGAACCAGTTGAGAATGGTGCTGTGCTTCTTGTCCACGCGCTTTGTATGCCAGTCTCGACTTTGGTCGACAGCGGTGAAGACAAGTCCTCGCTCGACAGGTTTAGTTGCGAAGAGCTGTTTTGTAAAGATGAAGAATCGCCTTCGCCGGAACAACCTGATAATGCCAGACAGTCGACGCCGTGAGTAGTTGTAAAATTCCGCCGGCCAACATGCGCGTCCTCAACAATTGCACCTTCCCCGCGACCAACATCCGTATTTTCAGGCAGCGCTCCAACGATCATTTCGCAATCGGGAACGAAACTGCTTCTCGCAGTACCACCACTGACCGCCGAGGCAGAAGTAGTTTTCGACCTGTTTCTAGTACTATCGCCGCTGCTCTTGGAGTCGTGTAGTAGTTCCGTGTCATCGCCGGCTAACACGAAGGTGAAAGCGGAAGTGGTTCATCTCATTGGTTTACTGTAGTTGTTTTTGATGCCCGAATTAGAAAGAGCGTCACCGTGGTAATCCCCATCGCGGACATCATCTCCTGTCCGAGGCCCCGTAGCGGTGGACAAAACATTATCAAGAAAACTGTTGTAGCCAGCACTGGCCCCCGTAGCAGTATCCTGTTTTTTCCCTCCTCCGCCCCACGCCTGTTTTCGCCGCTGCGTTCCGGTCTCTACTTTGGTTGAGCTCGGCGACAACGGAGAGTATGGAAAAAGTGAGAAAAAACGTAGTTCGCATATAGCATTACAGATTCAAAACACGACGGCTGCATCGTGGAACCAGAAAGAGAAAACAATTTCAAAAACATCATTGTCATTATGGTACGTGACATGCACATTCTCCTAAACCGCATCAAAGCAAACAGGTTTTTTACCTTCTTAAACACGAGGAGTCGTCCCTGGAACTATCGCTTGAGGAAGAGGGCGACGACGCCGTGCCAACGGTAAAAACATCATTCCGCCCTGGTTTGCAACCGAATAAACCGGCTTGCTCTGGTACAGCCTCCATCGCAAATCCGCTTACTGCAGAAGACTTCGAACCTGCGCGCACTCCAGTTGTATCATGGCCGACCTGCTGTTGTTGCAGAGATGAAGACGCCTCGATGTAGCTATGGTTTGGTGCGCTGTGTTGCGGAGCAGCCAACACGTTGAGTGAAAACAAAACTTCAAGCTCTCGTGCATCTTCTCCCAGCCCCGGAATGGAGTTGCCCAAAAGTAGCTGGCTGGCCGCTTCTGCGCGCTGCGTTTCGGTGGATGAGCTCTCTGTTGCAGTACCTGAAGACGACGAAGAGGTGGTACCGCTAGAGGAACTCGAACTACCCAAAACACTGGAGCAAGAGCCGCTCGAAGTGTTCATTTTACCATCATGATCATTGTTCATCCCAGCAGCGTATCAAGTGCAAAAATGTCTGGGTCTGGAAGAATTCATGTTTGTCATGCTTGTCTGGCATGACTCTTAAATCTGTCATGCACGTTACCCAAAAGCTCCGTTTTTCTGTGATGCAGAAGCGCAGTTTGTCATGCAGAATAGGCAACACCAAGGAGCTCAGACACTTATCATGCTGAGCCAGCATTTGTAGCCTCATCATGAGACGCCACCCAGCATCACAAGTGTCCAGACCCAGACATTTTTCCTTTTGATAGAGTGCTTTGGCTTTGGCTTTCCTCCCCCCACGCCGTCCCGACGCCGGAACCGGGGGCGAGTCGTATCATGCGCGGAGCAGGTTGTCGGAGCAGAGAGGAAACGGCTTTGGTTCGTTGTTGTTCCGCAGCTGGCTGCAACACCATCGCCGGATTCGTAGTTGATCTGCCGAGCGGCGGAAAAGAAGTAGAAGAAGAGGATCCTTGTTTTTGCAACTGACCAACATGATCATGCGCCGCTTTGTTACTGCGTGAAAACGCCTCGTCCTCGGAAAGCCAGCGAGGTTCTTGCGAAGACGACGACCCAGAGGTTGCTGCGGGGACGGCTAACAAGCTCGAACCCAGCATGACACCGGAGTTGACAGATGTACCTGATATACATTGCAAATAAACCAAAAGTACCTGATAGTTTTGCTTGGAAAAATACAGAATATTTTACATATATGCAAAGTGCTGCAAAAAGGCAAGCAAAAACTCTAGTAAGAAGTGCTGATTTACCGTATATACAAACTAGATTTTGATGTCACGGAGTGTTGCAACTACTACGATTCATGCCATGCAACTTGCACAGAGGATACCTTTATCGTGAAGAGATGAACCAACTTCACCAACAGTGGTCACACCTTCGCTTTGCGCCCTGCTTTTGGCCATCGGTGTATTTTCGGTAGCTTGATTCACCACGACCCCCCGCTCTTGCACAGCACCTCCTCGGATCCATGTCAACACGGGCGCTGGCCTTTTTGCCAACGACGCACTGCGGAAGGTCGGTGCCCGGGGTTGGTGGGTTGGGGCTCGGGGTTCGTAGATTTTTACTGTCGCTGGGCCAGAGCTCGACGCGGAAGTTGTTGTTTCAGGTCGTCGGGTTTGGTCTTGATCGCTTTCCTCCACCGTTCTAAAACCAAAGTCCGTTGTTCTCCTCACCTCTGTCCCGGTAGAAAGTGCCGACGCTGCAGATTTATTTTCAATTCTCCTCATTTGTTCTTCACCCTCGGAAGAAAAATCGGCACGACCGGAACAAGGTCCTAAACTAGCTGGATGCAGGAGCTCCGCCTCCTCCATCGGCGCGGCGTATAGTGTCGGCGTGACCAGTTGGGGATTAAAAGATGATAATGTCGCAGTAAAATTGGATGTGGGAACACGAGTGGGTCTACTTGTTCTAGTTTGTGTTGCGTAAACCAAATTTCCCTGCTGTCGATTGGTAGGCGCCACGCCACCTCCCGAAGATCCCCCGCCGAAGACCGCTTGCTGCGAAAATTGGACCTGAGAAAAAATAACCTGACTTTGATTCACATTCAATGACGTGGCTCCTAAAAAGTGATTTTCTCCGGCGCCAACGCCGCTTGGTAACGTCAAAGCCTCACCGTCACCCGTAGAAGTTGTTCCCCTCCTTTGTTGGTCCTGTTCAAGAAAACTCTCCTGCTGGCGGCCTGTGGTTCGAAAAATAATGCCGTGCTGTGGTGGAGAGCTCACGAGTTGCGAAGATGCGGTGGTGTTTTGGATCGTTCTGCCGATGTGGAAATTGTTTCCTGATTGTGCCGGTTGGGTAAAAAATCCCTCCACAGTACTAGTTGACCTTGTATGGTTTGCGTTTGTTCCAGCACGGTTAATAACTCCCAGAAAATTACTGTCACGTTCGCGCTCCTCCTCGCTTTCACCCCGTTGCAACATCGAAAGAACCATCTCACCTGTACGATTTTGATTTAATCCCCGCCGTTCTTCAAAATAACTCTCCGGTAGTGGTCCGCCAGTGGTTCTGGTTCGTCCTTGCTGTGGTAGTGGCGAGCTGAGTTGCGAAGATGCAGTGGTGCTGTTCTGGACCGTTCTTCTACCGATAAGTTCCTGATCATTTCCTAATTGAAATTGATGTCGAGCTGGTCGTTGAAAAACAAATCCGTCCGTGGTTTTTGTGGTTCTTCCATTCTTGTACTGGTGCTGGTGGTTTCCAACTCCAGTCAGGTTAGTAACTCCCAGAAATTTTCTCCCCAAAATGTAGTTGCCACCTGCTGTAGTAATTTCGCCATCACCTCCCGTCTGCTGGTTGTACAATAAAAACCCAGTAGCTGGTGCTCCTGGTCTTGTTCCGGAGCCAGGCGCTCCTACGGATGAAGTCGGTATTTGTGAAGTAGTGCGTGGCCCTTGTGTAGTTCTGGCGGAACTAGTTCTTTCTGCGTCTAACTCGCCGCGAGTTGAGCTCCCGGTTTGCGAGGCCCCCGCCGAGTTACTGGCGGCAGCGGCGCAGGTATAATTTTTCGCGAAATCGAAGTTGCAGCTCCACAGGAAGTGCAGCGGCAGGAAGAGGAGCTGCGGTCGTGGCGCCAAAAATAGAAAAACCGGAATAGAGGAACTACTACGCCACATTATGAAAAAATCGCAACTTGTGGACAGAGCGGCTGGTATTGTTGTAAATTGGATTTTTGAAGATTTTTCAGCGGAATTGAATCGTGTTCGTTGTGACGGGAGGTGCGGTCTTCTGTTCCGGTGAACAAAAGTCTGGCAAGTGGATGGAGTAGCAACGACGGTCCGACCGCTTTTAGCAAAGAACGACAGGCGTCGACGGCGTCAGCGGGCAGCGGTCGAGATTGCTACACTTGGTTTCCTTGACTTTTCTCCTAGTCGTGCTGGCGCGATACGTGAACGGGTATTCGAATATATTTGCAGTAGATTGATTTTCGCTTCTTTACATAGACGCCTGATCGTCGCATTTATGCTTTCGAAATTTCTTTTCACCCTAGGCAAGCAAATGGAATAGCAGGTCGTGTAGGTACACACAGAATCAAACGCAAAAACCACACCGGAAATGATTCGGAATCGGAACCAAAAGAGATGCGACGAATGTCTGAGACACAAAAAGCGATAAATATGGATCGGTAAATGAACACGATGCCCCAGCGGCGCGAAGCAATGCGAACAGAGTCACTGCATGCGGTAAAAGATAGACCTTCGGGCCAGGCGGCTGCCCGGGCTGTTGCCGGGGTGAACAGAGCGGAAACGGCCTGTCACGAAAGCGAAGCAAGCTCCCACAACAGGGGCAAACCGGGAGCCAGAATGCCAAACGCGGCCGGCTGGGCCTGGCAACACTGCCCTGGCCACGCCACACCGCCGGCAGGCCCTTTCAAAGCGCCGCGCCATCAGCAAGGGCAGCGCGCGCGCAAAAACACAAGGCGGGCTCCCCAAGTTTAACGGAGGAGCGTGCGGGCCACACCACCCCGGCGCCGAACGGGTGGGACCGCGTGGGACCCGACCGGGCGGTGTGGTTGCAAGCGGTGCGCGCCTGGGCGGGCGCGCGGGCGGGGGGGCGCCAGCCGGGGGGGCCATATGCGGCTGGCCGCCCCTCTAGGGGCGGGCAGGCAACACCACGACGGGGCGCCAGGCCTCCGCGTCTAAGTAATCCTGGCAAAGCCGGCGCGGGCCCGCCGCACGGCGGGGGGCCGGGGGGGGGGGGGGGGGGCGCTCGCTGCTTCGTGCTGCTGGTAGGTTTCGAGCCGCTTCGGCTTCGAGTGCGCTGGCGCGCCGAAGACAGAGCAGACAAACTCTGCAAACGGCCGCCGGCAGCACAAAGTCCGCGGCAAGCCTCTGCGCCACCTCTGATTTTCCTCCGCCACCGAGGGGGGGCGCCCGCGCGCCCGGGGAGCGGCGGCGGAGCGGCCTGCGGCAGGCTGGCAGCGAGCGCAGTCGCCCGCCCGGCAAAAAGAGCCGCGCGCCCGGGCAAGGCCACAGGCGGCGCCCCCAGGAAGGCGCCGGCATGCTGGGCGCGAATAATCGCGCCCCCCGGCGCGCTCACGTGCTGCAAAGCAGCGCCCACCAAGAACAGCTGGCAGCGGCCGCGGCACATTGACCCCGGCACGGCTCCCAGAGACATACGGGGCGCCCGCGCTTTCAGGCGCCGGCCGCGTCGAAGCGCACCAACCAACCACATTCATGGGGCAAGCGGCCATACTTTCGCGGCGCCTACCTCATTGCGTGCAAGGCGATCGCCATGCCCTGCGCGGGGCCATACTTAGGCGGGCCCCCGCGACCCATACCACCCCCATGCGACTGCTTCAATTCCCAGAGACTTGCGGCCGAGCAACGTCACCACTGGCCCCCGTCAGCTTTGCCCGCAATTTTATTTGTGCCTTGGTCGCCGGCGCGTCTCGTTGAAGACGGGCAGAACCACCGCCCCCGGCGGGCCAACGGCGCACAGCACACGGCGCACACTTTGACCATCCCCAAGCCTTCCTCTGGCGATCGTGTGGCGGTCGCCACAATAGAAAAGCGCGGGACCAGCGCCAGCCCTCACTCTCGTCGTATAACGCCCAGCCTGGGCTCTGCATGTGCGCCCGCCGTCCATTCTGGCAGCGCCTTGGCGCCAAGACGGTCGCCGGCTGCGGAAGGGGCTCAGCAGCTTCCCTGTGGTCCGATCCAGTACTATTCGCGTGGGCGCTTTGTTTCACGTGTAGCCCTTTGCCAGTCGGTGTGGGCGAACAAGATCTTGTCCCTGACAAAATATCCGGGGAGGGATAGGAACACAAAATCCATAGGCAACTCCACCAGAGCCTCGTCTGCTGCTGATTTCCTCGCGTGTGCCACAGTCACAGTCTAGAAAATAATAAATGTGGTGCATTTATTGTGGTATGGAAATTTGAATTTCGATTCTGAGCGCACTGCAGTTCAATTTTTGTTCATTTTGCAACAGAAACAGTTCAACAAGTTCTCGAAAAAGAAGACTGTATATCATTATCTTTCGCCACTTAGAAGGGACGAACCCATCGTCCGGGAAGTGGCGGTCTGGTAAGAACTTAATATCAACATATTGCTTTCTGGACCTTGGATGTTGTATTTTGCGGAAATGTAATTGTAGATGAGCGTCGAAGTGAGATGGTCAGAGTTCCTTCTTGTCTGATTGGTTTAAGATTACGTCAGGAAGTGGTCATTTTTGGTTGCTACTTTTATGGCCGGTAAAAAAGAAGAACTTAGTGAAACAAGAGCAACTACTGAGTCCATCGAGAACTAGTAGCTCACCTGCCATGACAGCAGTGCCAGTGTTCCCGAGGAAGAAGAAGATGTTTCTATTTCTGCCTGCTATCTTCCAAATATTTTATACGTCGTGATGAAGCTGCACTACCTGTACCACCTGTAGTCGAGTCGGTTTATGATGAGATATGACGGTCCACGTAGCTGCGTTATTTCGCACCAGTTACAGTTGCTGCCAAGGGCTTTTATCAAAAAAAAAATCCCAGAAACAACCTGAATAGCTGCTCCGTCCGAGTACTTCTTGTGTGAACGAAATATTAATATAGGTCTCGGTCGTATAGCTTTGGAACTAAACTTTGGGAGAAGGTGGTCATGTCGCCGCTGCACCGTCCCGACAAGCTGAAAAAGATAAAACAAGAACCTCCTACACATAGTACGGGAAAAAACATAAACACCACCTACCAGAGCGTAGGGGAAAATACCAAATAGCAGCACCTGTAGAGCGAAGATTCTGTGTAGCGGAAATAAAGCACTGAAAGTTAAAACGGATAATTGCGAGAATAGGAAAACGTGGTAAAAAAGCGTAGAAAATTCTTGCAATGAGAAGAACAGTTTCTGCTTAACAGCTACAAGGCCGCAACTTATGTCGCGCAGTGGGAGGGTGAACGAGTGGACGGGGGGGAAAGAAAAACGCCAGAGGCGCAAGGGAGAAAATTTTTGACGCAGGGCGGGGCCAGGCATCTGCGCCCCTCTTGCTGAAAGAACGAAGGCGGAGCGCCATGGCGCCCGTGGTTCCCGTCGTTGTGCGAGCGCGAGGACCCCGCCCGCACTGGGCGCGCGTTTGCGTGGCGGCAAGCCTTAGGCCCAAGCAACAACGCAAAGCG